GACTATCATTACACCAAGAAAAACCGGTTTTATTGGTTTATTAGTGTGCATAGAAAGCCTCATTGTATATACAACTAGTTGAAAGGAACCAAAAACTTAAGTACGTTGCGATTTACAAAATCAGCCAAGATCATTTAGCGCTTATGTTTGGACATATAAGGTCACATGGTGGATGCAACATCAACCCAACGGCGCGACAGTTTCAAGCGATATACAAAAAGCTCTTGGTAAAGTCGGAGCTTAGGGATATAGACCAGAGAAACTGTATAGATCTTGAGGTTTCTTTTTTGTCGTGCTCCTCAGCTGTTCAAAATATAAATCTGACAATCGAGCCGTGTAAGTTAAAGAGGAAGGTAATGACGAAGACGAGATGAGTTTGTTATATGAACAAGCCGTATTTGATGAGGAAATTAGTATACTTGTACAAGAATTTAGTAGCCAGGTAGTATCATATATAGCGGGATTTACAGTTCGTTTTCTAAAATTACTGAAGTGTGATAGTGGTAGGAAGTAGTGTAGCGGTTTGATTCCAGATACAATTGACGACAAGCACTTCAAGTTTATAAAATTGAAGGATAAAGTTCAAAATCTTTATCGCATTTTATAGGTGTGAATCTTTTTGAAACAATCCATTTTCACCAATATAATCAACAGCCAATGAATAACCATTTAATAATACTTATAAAAGCTGTAATGGAAAAATATTGTAAACATAAGATTACACTACCGTATCGCCTTCGCCGTAATACTTATGTCCTTTCTTTCCTATATTGTATTCACTTTTACCCCCATATCTCTACATACGAGGGCTGCACTAAAAGTATCGGGAATGGAATATTTCCACTGTTCTTGTCATATTAAAATCTTTTTAATTGAAAACTCCTTGGTTTTAAAAATCGAATACCATTTATTTATTTTAAAAAAGATTCTCGGTCTTGTCACGAGGTTTTGTCAAACTTGTTTAGTCGTTGAGAAAATAGAATTGACTCGAGAAAATTCAAGAGCGATGATTTATTATTACTTTCGAAGTGGTTTAACACAAAAACAATGTGTTGACCGGATGATTTCTGCATTTGGTGATGAAGCCCCATCCAAAACCACAATTTATCGCTGGTTTGCTGAGTTTCAACGTGGACGTGTCAAGCTCAGTGATGATCCCCGTCAAGGTCGTCCAAAAACTGCAGTCACCCAAGAAAACGTTGATGCTGTGCGTAAGCTGATTGAGGAAGATCGACATGTGACATACCGCGAAATTCAGGCAACTTTAGACATTGGCATGAGTCAAATACAAATAATCTTGCATGAACAATTAGGTGTAAAAAAGTTGTTTTCCCGATGGATACCGCATTCGCTCTGTGAAGAGCAAAAAGCGGCTCGCGTTACTTGGTGCGTCAGAACTCTCGAAAGATTCCACGCAGGATCCTCAAATGCTGTATACAACATTGTATCAGGTGACGAATCCTGGATATACGCGTACGAACCCGAAACAAAAAACCAGTCACGAGTTTGGGTGTTCGAAAATGAGTTAAAGCCAACAAAAATTGTTCGTTCACGGAGTGTTGCAAAAAAAATGGTGGCCACGTTTGTCTCCAAAACCGGCCATGTTACGACTATTCCTCTTGAGGGACAAAGAACGGTTAATGCAGAATGGTATGCTAGCATTTGTTTGCCACAGGTCGTTTCTGAACTCCGTAAAGAGAACTGCAACCGCCGCATCATCCTCCATCACGACAATGCGAGTTCTCACACCGCGCACAGAACAAAAGAGTTTTTAGAGCAAGAAAACATAGAATTATTAGACCATCCGCCGTACAGCCCCGACCTAAGCCCTAATGATTTCTATACTTTCCCTAAAATAAAGAATAAATTGCGTGGACAGAGATTTTCATCACCTGAAGAAGCTGTGGACGCCTACAAAACGGCCATTTTGGAGACCCCAACTTCCGAATGGAATGGTTGCTTCAATGATTGGTTCCATCTTATGGAAAAATGTGTGAAATTTCGCGGAGAATACTTCGAAAAGCAATAAATACATTTTTAAATAGTAATGTTGTGTCACTTCGTTAATTCCCGAAATTTTCAGTGCCGCCTATGTATCTCAAAGAACGTTTCGAGTTCCTAAGTGATACGCATAATTTTTCCCTGAGATCATCGGATAGCCTCAGGACTGAAAATGCCAGCGCATTCATCCATCCATCCAGGCGGTTCGATTGTTGAATGCTCTGCCGGAAGCAGTGAGAAGTGCTCCAATTTAAACTGCTTTAAAAGAATGGTGTGAAGGAACATTAACTATCCGCCTAGTGTTGTTTGCTTGTTTATGCTTTATCCATATTCCTAATTTATTATGTGTATGTAAGTATATTGTAATATAAATCATATAGTGATTTCATGTTGTGTTTAACAGTATATATTGTATGTATGTATTTACTTTAATAATGTGTTGTTAATAGTACACCGCAACATACCTTTTTTTTCGGGCTGGGGGCTGCGTATACTATTCTTTGTGATTTGCTAGAATAAAGAGTGGGCAAGAATAATGAACGCTTGTTTTTTGATTACATAAAAAAAGAATATCAAAAATTGCTAGAGCAGCAATGCAGTTTATTGTCTAATTCCATCACTATTTCTTCGTTCGCAGACCGTCACATGGAAGGATAATTAATGGAAACTTTTGACAAGGAGATAAAAATTATTTACGCTGAAAAGAAAAAGTATCTTGCTCCATTTTCCGCCACTCTTTTAACCTACAAGGATTTATTTAAAACGATGGCAGTAAAAGAAACCATTCGTTCAGTTGCACCCCACCACTTCTTAAAGAAATCATTAACTCAACCAGAAGAGAATTGCCTGAAAATTTTACGGCTAAAGATTTGATAATGGGAGAATGCGATTACGTGCCAAAGCTTCTTACTTGTTTCTTGGAATCATTCCCTTGTGATGATATTTTTCATCTATCCCAAAAACCACGTTCTATTGGACAAGATCTGTTTTACGCAGCTTTCGGCCACAAAATTAAAACTTCAAAGCACATTACCCTAGGTCTGGCAGTGAAGAGTTTATGCAACAGTAAAAAAGTTGTTAACATGCTTTCAAGATATGGGCACTGCTGCTCTTACACAATTTTAGAAGACCTATAGACTGAGCTGACATTTTCGACGGTAAATAGTGATAACGTATGTCCTGAAGACATTCAACGTCGCCCAGACTTAAATACTGGTGTCGCATTCAATAATTTCGACCGCTTCGTTGAAACTCTCAACGGCAAAGATACTCTGCATGATACGGTGAGAATAATTTTTCAGGATATCGTGCAGAATCCGGATCCTGTCTCTATGGAATCTTCTAGCCCTTGCGTGCATGAAAATTCAACAATAGATGAGATTGTGCGTGGTAGCTTTTCAGAATTATCCATTACCACCACAAAAACAAGAAAACGAAAACACTTTTGAAGAAGTTACTTTTGAAATGCATCCATTTACCAAGAAATAAAAAATTACAACCTGGAGTCAGCTAGACATCTCAGAGCTTAATAAAGCTCTAAACAATTTGAGTATGTGAAAACAGCTGGATGTTACGTACATGTTATTACATGAGTATAAAATAGCAGATGTTCCAATGTGTTCAGGTTCAAAGTCTCATATTTTACTCCAATTAATGAATCTCCCGCCAACAATTCAACTATCTTGAAAACTCTAGAATTAAGTCAGGAAATTGCTAATGAATGTCAAGTTCCCTATATCCAGATCACGTATGATCTAGCTATTGCTCGAATTAGTTATTGCATTCAAGCTCAAGAATCTCCAAGTTTTGACAATGTTTTTATTCATTAGATTAATCATTATAAAGATCAAATCAGATCATTATAAAGATTTGAAAAATATAAAGTTTAAGGAAGCTATTGTCAAGTTTTTCATCGATCATTGGGCTGATCAGGAGATGGCAACGATTATCGGTAGTAAGGTAATTTACATAATGCATGATTTGTGTTATGAATATTCTGTTACTGATAATAGAGTAACACGCATCATTAATTATGAGTTGTCATGCCCTGATCATGAAAAAGCGGATACGAAGATAGCATTTCTTGCTTGTCAACAAAATGAAGATTCTACTATTACTATCAGAATTTCTGATACTGATATATTGGTCATCATGTTAGCGAATATGGAACACCTGCAAGCAAGAGTAGAAGTTTGGATGGATCTTGGAATTGGCAAGGCATTGTTTAAAAAAAAAACATTTTTTTTTGTCAGATTAAGCGAATCCCTGTAGATAATCGTAGATTGTGAGACAGCACGTCTAGGACATAAAGATGAACCAGATATATCTTAATCTGACGCGCTCGAGTATTTCAAAATGGCGAATTTTTGAGCACATTATAATAATGGCCACGAGTTTGCGTCACATCAAAATCGTCAGATTATTGAATGAGAGCTTTTTTTTAGGTTCACTTAACACCCTTTAGAAAATCTGACGCGCTCGATAAAATTTTCATTTTCATTTTCAACCTTTACGTACGACCACCCCCACCACGCAAACGATCCGATTAACATACATACATTATTAAAAATAACGTAGGACATTGATGCTATCAATATCTGACGCGCTCGATTATGTCCATGCAACAGTATTTTTTACATTTTTGAAAATGTAAAAATATACTGTTGCCGCTCCTCCCACCAATGAAAACGAATACATTATATAACATTTTTTTCTTCTTATCATCTAAGCTTTGCATCCCAATAGGTCTCTATGACGCTGGAGTAAATCAACATTTAGCATCGTGGGCTCCCCTACTATTTGTTACCGTAACCAAAGCGATTCATAATCGCTCTTATTGGTCCATTTAGAATCTCTAATCTGATACACAATCATATGGCTTATAAATTCATAACAAAGATTATACATGTTTTACGTAATTACTTATTAACTACATATATTACTAATTTCTATTTGTTTCTTATAAACTATCCATAATCTATTTTAACTATTTAAATCTGTTTTCGTCCTGCGCAACTATTTTTCAGCCATAACCGAATTGGTATTATTTATTGTTATTTATTCTTATATTGTTTATTTAAGGCATTTCATATTTTTCCGTCGACAGCTAAAAAGTAAGACAGCTTAGGTATTTCAAGTTTTACAAATATCTGTGTTGTGTGACTAAGCGTTGCTTATATGCAACAAGCACAGTACTGAGTCGAAATAGGATTTTATTTGTTTTCATATGCGTATATACAACATCTACCCTCTAAATTTCATCTATAATTAATCCAGAGTGTTCAAGTAACGTCGTTGTGACATACGGACAAACAGGCACGATGACCTCGTAAGGATTATCGGGCTTTTTTTTTGCGTTTTAGCTCCGAAACCCTAATAAAAAACATTAATATTAAAAAAATATATATATTGTACAAAAATATTTACAGAATTTAAAAAATCATTTCCAATCATAACATACCTTAAATATGTTATGTCACAGTTGCATACGTATCTATAATATAATATTTATTTAAGCATTTGGTTGACAACCCTACGACAGATACTGATTGTTAGGAGTTATTATCGTTCATGAACAAGAACTTTCGCGGTAGACTCTTCAAATCTCTTTGAAAGAAGACATAGGTGCTCGGTAAGCTAAGGAGTGGAGCTCATATCAGAGCAGGATAGTACTCGCCAAGTTATTTTCTGAATGTGAAAGAGCGCAGAAGCTTCAGCCAGTAGAGACGAGCTCCCCTCCCTAGACAAATTAAGCATTACCAGCCATCAGTATCAGAATCCATTTAGTATTAGTTTTGCGGTAGGCAGCGGCTTAGCTCTGCCCCTGGCATTGCTGAAGTCCATGGGCGACGGTAACCACTCACCATCAGGTGGGCCGTATGCTCGTCTGCCTACAAGGGCAATAAAAAAAAAAATGAAAAATCTACTTCATTATATTCACAACTAGCGACCCGCCCTAGCTTCGCATCGGAAACTGTAATTTATTATTGATTTATCCACTATTTAATGGATGTTATTATACATATAAAACTTCCTCTTCAATCACTCTTATCTATTAAAAAAAACCGCATCAAAATCCGTTGCGTAGTTTTAAAGATTTAAGCATACATAGGGATATAGGGACAGAGAAAGCGACTTTGTTTTATACTATGTAGTGATGATAATAATTACCAAAAACAGACCGTAAAACCGGAATTCGGACGTACAATGTTCTGTTGAAATCCTTTACGGTTTTCTCACTTTTATAATAATGTATTAAACAAAAAGCAACCTTAATTAGCTCACTTGTTAGTCCTGCTTCAGAACCGACAACTCTAACATTAAATAATTATATAAGAACTTAATTGATATTAAATTAGGCAATTTCCTCATCTACGCAGTTCTTTTACCAGGTCCTCGGAACAGCTTATTAAATTACTTAAATAACTTAAATTCAATTCCCACAAGCCGCTTTCACCGTGAGGGCGCAAAAAAAATCCAATCTAATACTATTTTGTGTAATATTTCCGAATCAGGAAATAAATTGATTTGTATACCTATAAATAGCCTTTTTCTTTTAAATACTTATTTAATTCAATATAATAGTACGCTTTCATTACCAGCCGGATATATATTTTTTTAAATTCTATCTAATTTTCTATTATATTTTTTCAGTGTCTGTTTTAATAATAAGTGTGCTGGTTATTGTGAGATAAAAGTGGATTGGCAATAGAGAGGGTATGAGCGATTTCACCCGATGCTAGAGAGAGAGCGCGCTATATCGGGACGTCAGCTCCTTTAGCAGTACTCGCTATGCGAGAAAGGGACCTCTGGATTTCCAAATAACATAAATAATGCTTAATAACTTAAGTAGCCGTTTTAATATTAATTATAATTTAACTAACTGTAATTTAATTAATTTAACCTTATTTTTATATTAATACAAATGCAAAAAGAAAATAGTATTACAAAATATTTTTAGAACGAAACGTTCTGTTTGGAAATGTTTTACAATAATAATTACATGATTCGACGCTTGAAAGGCAAACGCGACTAAGCGACAATAACTGCTTTATACAGAAATGAAAGGCAATAACCATATTCGATGCGCAAAAAAAAAATTATATTTCTAGGTCTATTAAAATCATTTCAATCCTACAGCTAGATTCGTTAAAATAGAATTTTTTTCAGGTATTTCAACTTTAAATTAGTCTACTGTAAAGTTCACGCATTGTCGCTTAGTCACGTTTGCCTTTCAAGCGTCGAATTATTATTAATCATAAATAATATCCTACCGCCAGTAAACTACATTAACTGTCATAGTGTATTATATTTAAGTAGCAACGGTGTACCTTTATCGCGGTCAGTTCGTTTCCGGGTTCAGTTTCGCGGCGGCAGCTCGAAGTGGTACTTCTCGTCTGTGGCCTCGAACAGCGGGGCGCGGGCCCGGACTCCGCTGGCGGTCGGCCGCAGCAGCGGGTCCGGGTTCAGCATCAGCTTCAGGACTGCGGTCTGAAGCGGGACAAACGCGGTGGAACAACAACAGAATTCAAATTCAATTTTTTTTTTGTTGCCCTTGCAGGCAGATGAGAATACGGCCCACCTGAAGGTGAGTGGTTACCGTCGCTCATGGACTTCAGCAATGCCAGGGGCAGAGCCAAGCAGCTGCCTACCGTAAAACTTAGATTCACTTCAACTTAGATGTCAGCATAACACACTTGTTAAATGTCAAAATATAAATAAAAATGTTAACTCTACCACCGGTTCCAAAAAGAGTCACAGTCCTGAGAAGAACCGGCGAAACAAACTCAGCGGTTTTTTTTTGTTTTTTTCTCAAATATTTTCATATTTTTTTTAATAAGTTAAAATATTTACAATAAACGAAAAAACAAGTCAAAAAATAAAATTAAAAAAATAATAATTATAAAAAATGAAAATGAAAAGGCCAAGAGCCAGGAAGTAAAGAGTGACGGTAGCCATCATAAAACACAAGATGTTTGACAGACGAAATGAAAATGAGGTTGGTAAGAGAGTGTTAACTATGAATGCGGAAGGATATAGAGGAAGAGGCAGACCTAAGAAGAAATTGATGGATTGCGTGAAAGACGATATGTGTAAGAGGGGAGGAAGGAGAAAACATGTTGTACCGACCCCAGGTGACTGGGAGAATGGCAATATAAAAAAAAAGTGTTTGTTCAGGTTTAAATGTGTAATAACGGTGGTTTATTAACTGTTTAGTATCTGTGAAAGTGCACAAATGTAGGAAAATGAAACAAAACCGCTGAGCGTAACTTCTCGGGATCCTCCAAAAAGTACACTGAAAAAGTCTCAGTAAATGACCACCATTTAACTGAGATTATATTTCATCCCATATCATCTCATCTCATCACATTTCATTTCAGTTTCATTTCATTTCATTTCATAATATTATTTTTCATATAAAAAAGTTTTCATTAAAATTCTTTAATTTTATTATATTTATGTTTAATATTATAATTTTAAGATTAAATATCTTTAATATTATTTGTCTATAGTGTAGCCTTGGTGAAATCTGTCATTATAGAAGTTTAATAGTCTTCGACAATAGCACCATAATAATGTTCAAACTTATAATTTCAATTAATTATAGTCGAATTTAGGCTACTACGGGACCACTATAGTAGAATTATTTTGGCCGTAAAGTTTGGGTCACAAATCTTAGCCCGGCTAGGGCGGTGAGCATGTTGCGCGGGCGCAACGTCATTATCGATAAAAACTTGTTTGTTGTACTTACCTGCAAATTATAGTACATATGTCGAAGAGAAATGTGTTTTTATGCATTCGCTCTCTGAATTTCTTTAGTGGCACAATGGCTACTACTTTGTTTTGTACCAAAACGGCAGAATTTATTTAAAATAATATTTGTACGTGTTGTTATTAACAATGCGTTAAAAATTTTCACATAAATGAAAATAGATTACTTGCAGTGTTAATTTCTTCCGTTCTCATTAATTTGCTGCGGCGATACGTGGTGTAAGTGTTCGATTAGTGATTTTTACTTTCATTTTTATCACTAACCCACAAAATAACAAAACGAAACACACTATCGATAACGCTTATCGACAACAATAATGCGCATCACTATACCCGTCCATAAGGCCCGTGAGTGGAAGAGAGAGCGAATTACTCGCTTCACCGCTCCGATTACACGGGTCAACACCAAATTTGAAAGTCGTCGTGGCCTAAAGGATAAGACGTCCGGTGCATTCATATCTAGCGATGCACCGGTGTTCGAATCCCGCAGGCGGGTACCAATTTTTGTAAAGAAATACGTACCTAACAAACGTTCACGATTGATTTCCACGGTAAAGGAATACCATCGTGTAATAAAAATCAAACCCGCAAAATTATAATTTGCGTAATTACTGGTGATAGGACCTCTTGTGAGTCCGCACGGGTTGGTACCAACACCCCGCCTATTTCTGCCGTGAAGCAGTAAGGCGTTTCGGTTTGAAGGGTGGGGCAGCCGTTGTGACTATTCTGAGTGAGGCCCTAGAACTTATAATCTCAAGGTGTATGGCGCATTTACGTTGTAGATGTCTATGGGCTCCAGTGACCACTTCACATCAGGTGGGCTGTGAGCTCGTCCACACACATAAGCAATAAAAAAAAAAAAAAATTGACTTTTATTTGCTAAGCATAAAAATTCGATATTTTAGATCGTATTTAGACGAAAAAAAAATACATGGCATGAAACAGTTTGCTTCTAAACTTTAATAAATTGACCACATATGAAACAAAATGCATCAGCATCGTATTTACACTTTCGTGACATTTTAAGTTTTTCTGGGCTTGTACAAAACACCTGATCGTTGTTTATGACTCGATTGTCATCTAGTGGCATTGTGTAAACGTAAACACCCCACTCTCATAGCGCGGTTTTTGAAGTGAAAACTTCTTTAGAATCGTTGTGATTTAAAACCGGATGCAACGGAAAAAACGACAGGTAAGAGACACAAATACAAACATGTGTAGGATGAAGCCAGCAAAGAATGAGACAGAAATATACATACTATTTAATACAGCGCCATCTGTGAGATTTTTTAATACTAACGTGTGTATGAAAGCTCTTGTAGTGAATTTTAATTTAGGATTATACGTGAAATTAAAATATCAATTCACAGAGGGCGCTACCTTACAATTATTTACTAATGACAAAATTTTACATATACTTAAGACGTTTAGGATAATTGTATTTTAATTTTGGAAGGTTTCACTTCTACCACGTGTGAATTGCACACATGTATTTTTTTTTGAAAGTATTAAAATGAATTAAAATTTATAAAAAAATTTAAAAATGACTATTATGACTATAACTATCACTCGCAAAAGCAAACTTTTTACAAAAAAAAAGGTATTATATTTTCGTTTTTGTGAATAATTAACCGGAAAACCCTAGTGTATGTATGACCCAAACTGCACGGACAAAATAATTCTAAATACTATAAGTAATAATCAATATTCCTCACCTCTTTAGGGTATTTATGTTCGAAGCTGTCCGGGTAGACTTGGTCCCGGACCCTGGTGAGGCAGGCGGCGCGCTCCGCCTCCGTGCCGAAGGGCTGCAGCAGCTCGAGCAGGATGAGGCCGAGCGAGTATATGTCCACCTTGTAGCTGTACGGGCGCCGCTGCAGCTGCTCCGGCGACATGTACACTTCCGTGCCTGAGACGCGGACGAGAACACGTATTTTTTTTGACGTGACGTCTTATAATTCAATGGAGCCGGCTGCACGCACGAAAAAACACGATTCATGCGGCGTTACTTCGCTCTGAGGCGTTCCATTTAAGGCTTGAAGTGCAAGCGAGAGCGCGCAACGAGCGACAAAGAGGCACAATCGGCCTCCGCGTTCGGCAGCGTTCGACATCTGTCTCTCTCCTACTTGAGTGAGCGATGTATCCGCGTGGACAGCTGCTATACAATAATACATTTACATGTTTTCGTCAAGTATGAAGTTCACTGAAAAGTGAATGTGGTGTCAATTGTTTATAGCAACGATAATTGTGATAATTGAAAAATGAAACCATTCCATCAGTATTTCCTTATGACGTTGTCACGTTCAACTATCGTCAGTAAACCGACTTTAAATGCCATACACCTATTAGGTTAAGTGGGCTAGTGTTGCAAATAAAAAAAAATCGTTACAACGTTACAACGGCTGCCCTACCCTTCAAGCTGAAACGCATTACTGCTTCACGGCAGAAATTGGCGAAGCGGTGGTACCTACCCGTGCGGACTCACAAGAGGTCCTACCACCGGTATATACTAATATTTATATTAATAATCGTTGCACGTCAGAATAGTTCTGCGGGGATATTATTTTAATATAGTACATACTATGAAGCTTAATATTAGGAACGAACAAGCGAAGTTTTTTTTTAATTGCCCCTTTAAGCAGACGAGCACACTGCCCACCTGAAGGTGAGTAATTACCGTCGCCCATGGACATCAGCAATGGTATAGGCAGAGCAAACCTGCTGTCTACCTATATATATTTATAAGGTGATTTAGTCCGATGAGTATTATAGTTTTATAGTGTAAGTTGATGTACAAAATAATATGTGCGTATTGTGTTGCTTTTGTTTTTTTGTAAATTAAATTTCTAAATTTCTCTTCTCTGTTCACTTTCTACCTATATGTGATTTTGATTGTGGAAACACATTCGGTTATTGTTTTAGCTATTTTTTTAAATATTATATTGTTTATTTTCCAAATATATATATTTATTTATTTAGCAAGTGGTTACCGGAGCCTATAGACATGTACAAGGCAACATAGACACATATGGGCTTGCTCACCGACTCTGTGCGTGAGCTGCGGGTGCGCGCGCGGCGTGCGGGCGGCGCCGCAGAGTGCGGGCGCGTCGTGCATGTACGCGACGAGCCCGAAGTCCGCCACCTTGACCTGGCCGTTGGGCGCGAACATGATGTTGCTGGGCTTGAGGTCGCGGTGGATCAGCCCCTCAAGGTGGACGTACTCGACCGCAGACACGATCTGACCGAATATCACTTTCGCCTGGAAACAATATGTTTTTTTTTATTGCTTAGATGAGTGGACGAGCTCACAGCCCACCTGGTGTTAAGGGCTACTGGAGCCCATAGACATCTACGACGTAAATGCGTCACCCACCTTGAGATAAGTTCTAAGCTCGCAAGTATAGTTACAACGGCTGCCCCACCCTTCAAACCGAAACGCATTACTGCTTCACGGCAGAAATAGGCAGGTTGGTGGTACCTACCCGTCCGGACTCACAAGAGGTCCTACCACCAGTAATTACGCAAATTATAATTTAGCGGGTTTAATTTTTATTACACGATGTTATTCTTTCACCGTGAAAGTCAATCGTGAACATTTGTGAAGTACGTATTTCATTAGAAAAATTGGTACCCGCCTGCGGGGTTCGAACACCGGTGCATCGCTATATATGAATGCACCGGACGTCTTATCCTTTAGGCCACGACGACTTCTCATAATGTTGTCACAATATTATGAGAATCTCTCTAGGGATATGATGGGAATCTCTCTAGGGATGGGATGGAAATATCTCTAGGGATGAGATGGGAACTCTTTAGATAGACATTGTATAAAATTTATGTAGTGTTAGTAAAGAAATAAAAGGTTTACTAGAGATGCGTGCTTTATGCTTGATTTCTCGACATCAGAGCCATATGTTGACATCTTATACTTGCAAAAAACACTCTTATATAATATGAATGTGTGTATTTTTTCTTTTACTTGAACTGTAATCCCAAGTTAAATTTTTTGAATGAACTATTAAAATAAATAATAGTTTAAAAAACTATTTTAATAAATTTGAATTACAAATAGTGTATTTTCTATTTTTTAGTTGGATTTTCTATAAAAGCGTATTTTGTTAGTTTTTTTAAACTATTATTTATTTTTCCTTTTTTAGTTGAATTTCAATAAAAAAATTTAATATTAAATTGTCATCGGTCCTTAATAAGTACACCAAATTTCGAGTTAATCCGACGTTTTCGAAGGGGGTCACAAAATCATGTTCAAAGATTCCGTTACCAACATACATACGTCTGAAGCTAATGAAAGCGTATTAATAAACGAATGTATAAGCCGCGCCAATAAAGAAACGAATCGAAAATGGCGGCGGCGATCATGCGCTCTCACTCTAAACTATTGCTGTCTTTAGTCGCACACGGCGCGTACTGCATACAAAAAATATATCAGTTCTGACTTTGTTCTCAGACGCGCTCTGTTTTCTCTCAAATTCTGTTGTTATTTATTGAATTTGTTCGTTATTTCGTGGTTATTTTGTTATTTATTTTAAACCTCCCCCTCTGCCAGGGCACCAAAGTAAAGTACATTCTCATTTGTTTTTTTTTATTGCCTAGATGAGTGGACGAGCTCGCAGCCCACCTGGTTGTTAAGTGGTTACTGGAGCCTATAGATATCTATGACGTAAATGCGCCACCAACCTTGAGATATAAGCTTACGGTCTCAAGTATAGTTACCACGGCTGCCCCGCCCTTCAAACCGAAACGCATTACTGCTTCACGGCAGAAATAGGCGGGGCGGTGGTACCTACCCGTGCGGACTCACAAGAGGTCCTACCACCAGTAATTACGCAAATTAATTTTGCGGTTATATTTTCTTTCTATCTTTCTTTTTATTTGTTGACCCTACCATCTGTCAGTGCAGGTACATAGACGCCATTTTCGATTCGTTTGTTTATTGGCGCGGCTATAACGAACGATCGTGGCGGACGCACCCGCTGGTATCGGTCGGGGCAGTCGCGGTTGTTCCGCAGCCAGTCGTAGAGGCTGTTCGGGTCGCAGAGCTGCATCTGTATGTAGAGCTCCAGCCGCAGCCCGCAGTCCGTCTGCTCTGTGGATGACGTCACGTCACCTTGCGACTTCCGCATCGATGAAGCCAAGTCGTCCTTCGACTCGCGTTTGGACGAGGCTCTCGTCTTGTCGGTGGAGTCGTTACGCTCAGGCGCGGGCCCGGTGGCGCCGTCCGGTGGGGCTTCGCCCTCGGAGCGCGCGAACACAACGAAGGAGCTGTTGTCGCTGGCGGTACTTTTGAGCTCGACGGACGCGTCCTTAGGGCTGAGCGTGTTGCACGTCGTACTTATTGAGTTCGCCTCGCAATCGGACGACCTGTGGCTGATCGAATTAAAATATTGATATTAGTTACAATAATATATAAATTCTAACACACAATAGGTACTCGTTAATTAAAATAATCAAATTCTTCTTCATCCAAAATCTGTCAATATATATATTTTTAATTATATTATTAGTGAGCATGAATAATAAGCAATATTATATGAAAAAAAAAGATATATTTGGTCACCAATTTGGACATAAAACTTATGTGTAGTCATATATGATATTTTTATGCCAATAAAAGTAACGCCATCTGTCGTTAAATAGTTAGAAACTGACATCATAACTGTGGGAACATTTCTATAATCATCATTCTCCTGCCCTTCTCCCAGTCACCTGGGGTCGGTGCAACATGTTTTCTCCTTCCATACTTCTCTATCATATACCATTTCTTCGCTCACTCCCCTCTAACACATATCGTCTTTCACGCAATTCCTCCCTTTCTTCTTAGGTCTACCTCTTCCTCTATATTCTTCCACATTCATAGTTAACACTCTCTTACCAACCTCATTTTCATTTCGTCTCATCACATGTCCATACCATCCCAAACGCGCACTCCTCAGCTTCTCTGTCACGGGTGCCACTTTCAGACTTCCTCTAACATATTCATTCCGTATCCTATCCATTCTCGTTACTCCACACATCCATCGCAACATTCTCATCTCTGCTGCATGCAATCAATCGTCTTTCATCCGCCATTTTAGTGGTCCATTTCTTGAGAATTTCTTGAATGTTCTAGAATATTATAGACAGTCGATATGTGCACACAATGCTCACCTGGCGAGGCAGGGCTGCACCCAGGCGTTGAAGTATCGCACAATGTGCGGGTGCTCGAGGTTGGCGAGCGCGCGCGCCTCCCGCAGCACGCGCTCGTGCCGCTCCTTCCTGCGCACCGAGCGGCCTTAGTGCGGGCGCACACTGTACGACCTAACCAAACGCCACCACAGCTCCGCGATAGAAACAGGCGGGGTGGTGGTACCTACCCGTGCGAACTAACATTATGCCCTATCAGTAAAAATTCGATTTTTTTTTTGCTTACATGGGTGGACGATCTCACAGCCCACCTGGTGTTAAGTAGTCACTGGAGACCATAGAAATCTTCAACGTAAATGCGCCACCCACTTTGGGATATAAGTTCTAAGATCTCAGTATAGTTACAACGGCTGCCCCACCGTTCAAACCGAAACGCATCACTACTTCTCGGCAGAAATAGGCAGGGTGGTGGTGCCTGCCCGTGCGGACTCGTAAGACGTCCTACCACCAGTAAAAATCCTGAATAAATTTCATTTACCAATTAAATTGAAGACTGAAGACTGGACTTAACGAGCACGATTATAATTTTCTTATAAAAAATCGGACATAGTAGCGTTCCATTGGACGGTAAGTAAGGTCGCTGACAAATATCAACCATACCAGAGACGCAAGAAGCCGCGGCTGGCACAGTTAAGGGTCGCGCACACTGCAGGCGCGACAGGCACGGAGTGAGCGATCCATACCACCTGGAACCCTGCGTTCATCCGCAGTGGGTTTCCAGAGATCTTTTTTGCCACGTACCTACCATCCGGCTTTGGAATGAGCTCCCCTACACGGTGTTTCCCTAACGCTATCATATGTCCTTCTTCAAACGAGGCTTGTGGAAAGTACTTAATGGTAGGCAGCGGCTTGACTCTGTCCATGGCATTGCTGAAGTTCATAGGCGACGGTAACCGCTCACCATTAGGTGGGTCGTATGCTCGTCTGCCTACAAAGGGCAATAAATATATATATTTTAATTTGCGACTAGCGACAAGGCGATTGCAATTCAGCAGAGATGCAAATGTTTCGATGGATGTGTGGGGTAACGAAAATGGATAGAATACGGAATGAATATGTTAGAGGAAGTCTGAAAGTGGCACCTGTGTCAGAGAAGCTGAAAAGTGCGCGTTTTGGGATGGTATGGACATGTGACGAGACGAAATTAAAATGAGGTTGGTAAGAGAGTATTAACTATGAATGCGGAAGGATATAGAGGAAGAGGTAGACCTAAGAAGAAATTGATGGATTGCGTGAAAGACGATATGTGTAAGAAGAGACTGAGCGAAGAAATGGTATATGATAGAAGAGTATGGAAGGAGAAAATATGTTGCGCCGTGACTGGGAGAAGGGCAGGAGAGTATTGATTGTGCGTAAGCGACGTAGGTGTTTTGTTATGCAATGCGGTGCGGTCCGGCCTCATGTGCTCCAGGCCCCAGACAGCAGACTCACTTCCTCGGCAGAGTGATCCTCTTGACGGCATACGAACAGTTGTCGATGTTGTTCCTCGCCTCGAAGACGACCCCGAAGCCGCCCCTCCCCAGGCGCCTCACGGTCGTGAAGTCCTTCTCATATCGTCCGGGATACTCGGGGTTCGATGGTCTTTTCGCTTCGAGCTCCTTCTCCGATGGTATGTCCTCGTTGAAGACTACATTGACCGTAGTTTGCGGGACGTTCATTATCATAACTCGGATCCTGTAGAAAATTTACATCCTGACAATTGTATCTATAAAAAACCACGTGTCGCGTAGATAGTGGAATCTTAATCTAATATATAAAATTCTCGTGTCACGGGGTGCGTGATTGAACTCCTCCGAAGCGGCTCGACCGATTTTCGTGAATCTTAGCGAGCATATCGGCCAGGGGGGAGAATCGAACAACATATACTTTTCTTCCCCCTAAATGTTAAGGGTCCACCCATAATTTTTTTTATTTTTTATTTATTTTTTAGACTTTTTTTTTGGGTTTTTTTTTATGATGATATAGCATACAAAAATACATACAACCCTAAATTTTCACCCCTCTACGATCAACCCTTATTTTTTATTTGTTAATAATTAATTTAATTTTTATTTAATTAATTAATTTTAATTATTTTTTATTATATAATTAATTTAATATTATTATTTTTTTGCTAGAATTTTGTTTTTATTTTGTTATGACAGAATAAAAAAAATCATATTACTCTGAATTTTTCACCCCTCTACGATCAACCCCTATATTTTATTTGTTAATTATAAACTTTTAACTTTTTTGGCAAGATTTTCATTTTTATAAAAAATCTGATTTTACTCTGTTTGTGTCAAATACATGGTAGTGTGTGTAATAGTTTTTTATTGATTTAATGTATACTTAATGCATAATTAAAAAAATTATTAGCATTATTTATACTCCTTTACTGTATTCTTATAAGTGTGAGAAATTTCATAAGCCTCCGTCCGCGCAATTTTCGTAAAAAGGTATACAAAGTTTTTGCTTCACGTATTAATATATAGATAACGCTTTCGATAATAAATATATCCCCGCACACTTATAGTAGATAGTTATTTTTATTGAACTAAACAAATGTTTCCTAGAAATAACATACATGGCAAAACAACGTTTGCCGGGTCAGCTAGTAAATAAATAAAAAAACATTGCTATAGTTGTTTCGCAGTTCGGTAACCCCCCTACCTCATCCGGGTTCTGACCTCGGAGGGGATCGGACGCTTGGGCGAAGAGTACAGGGGATTCTTTTAGTGGGTAAGGCCCTAAAATTCTTTGGGCCCGTGATCGGCTCCCAACACCTTGCAGATCGTCAAGTCCCAGATACCCCCCGTTCCCCCTAGGCGCGGGGACAGAGTAAAATAGCAAATAATTATTATTAAATGCGTTATAGGTTTCGTTGTTAAGACGTCTCCATCTTTGAGGACATCCAAGTCTCAATCGCATCCTCCAAACTGGAATACATTACTGTCGCAGAAATAAGTAGAATCGTGGTACCAATCCGTGCGGTTTTGCAATGCGCACCGTGTTACCAACAGTGACACTAAATCCACGTTTTTTTCACTCGCTACATTCCTCGATTGTGGAAACCATTCTTGAACGTATTAGATACGTATTCATCGCTACTTCGTGAATCTTCATGAATCATTAATGAATGAATACCTTCATGAATCGCTACCTACCTGCCTTTTTTTCCTTGAGAGGCTATATCAGCGTCGCCTTAACTAGTAGGTGAGCTCACGGGGCTCAAACCTGACGACGTTGCTAACACGAACCCTAGCAAGAGCCGTGCTTCGCAGAATCTACCACCCGATCGGAAACGCGACCCGCTGAGAAGATCCGGCGAGAAACTCAGTGGGCTGTGTCTGAGGGCTAATTTACTCGTCGAGCCCTTTGTCGCAAGCGACGGGTTCGACGAGAACGACCACAAGGCACCCCATAAAACGTCTTCAGGTATTAAAGTCGTGTATACACGTTAAAATTGACGTAACCTAAATATAAAACGTACCTCGCATAGAAAGGGAATATTAACAAGACTAACGCCAAAGCCAGCGTGAAGCACGTGAGGATGTCGAATAACCACGACCGCACCTTCTTCACCTTGTCGCTGACCTCGGTGGCGTTGGAGTCCTCCGCCTCGTGGAACGGAATGTACGTAGACTTGTCCGATAAAGGCAGGTACACGTTCTCTTTGTCTGAAAAGAAAAAAAAAATCGGTTGTCTGTAAAGTCGGTTTACTGACGATAGTTGAACGTGACAACGTTATAAGAAAATACTGATGGAATGGTTTCATTTTTCAATTATTGCAATTATCGTTACTATAAACAATTGACATCACTTTCACTTTTCAGTGAACTTCATACGTGACGAAAACATGTAAATGTATTATTGTATAGCAGCTGTCCACGCGGATGCATCGCTCACTCAAGTAGGAGAGAGACAGATGTCGAACGCTGCCGAACGCGGAGGCCGATTGTGCCTCTTGTCGCTCGTTGCGCGCTCTCACTTGCACTTTAAGCCTTAAATGGAACGCCGCAGAGCGAGGTAACGCCGCATGAGTCATGTTTTTTCGTGCGTGCAGCAGGCTCCATCGAATTATAAGACGTTGTCACGTCAAAAAAATTTTGTTTAAATGGGTAGAGGCTCACGGCCGTCGTTCTGGAGACTCCAGAACAACGCCAACATAGACCGGGACGTAACAAATCGAATACAGTCAAACCTGGGTAAGTGAGAACTGGATAAGTGAGAAAACTCTATAAGTGAGTGTAATAGCCAGGACCCGTCATTTTAAGCTCCCAAAACCTCTATTAGAGAGAAACAGAAACCTCTGTAAGAGAGAGTCGTTTTTCCCTCATGGACCTCCGTAAGTGAGACTGCTACTTATCTATACCTCTATAAACGACAGTCGAGCTTTATTTATTTATACTATTTAGGAGAAACGACTGAAAAAACAAATTACAAATTTAACATCTGCTATTTTATGACTCATTCTTAACTTTTGTGGAACTTCCGTCCATTGTTTTTGAATTATTTCCTCGTCAATATTGAACCTATTCTATTTCGTGGAACTAAATAACGTTGTTACTTTATAGCATTCTTTTCAAATGGACACGTGTGCCTGTGTACCATCCTGTTTGTCCGACTTACTCACTTTATCGTTAATCAATTGCGAAAGAAAGTTCTGTTCTACATCATGTCAAAACGGAAAATTAAAGTACTGCCATTAAGTGATAAACTTAAAATAGTGAATGCGTTTGAATCCGGAAAATCGCGAAATGAAATTCAGAGGGTGCATTAGCGAGAAACTCGGGTTAGTGAGAAACCTCTATAAGCGAGAATGAGATTGTGCTCCCTTGAACTCTCTCTTATCCAGGTTTGACTGTAAACGCCGGTTGGGTGAAACGGCTATCTGCAACAGCACGCGATCTGTTAGAATTGAAACTTGAACTTCTTTTTAAAAAACACTTTTAATACTCCCGTCTACTAAGTTTATGTTATTTATAGGGAAAATTCGGTATACGTCCCACCCCGATAAAATTCTGACCCGAACTGCTTTAAAAAGCTAGCTAAAAATCATCATCGGGAATAAACGCTTTTTTTTTCCTACCTAAGCTGATAGCCTTGAGAGGCTATATCAGCGTCACCTTAACTAGTAGGTAAGCTCACGGGGCTCGAACCTGATGACAATAAAAGCTGATGTTGATGTTTGGTAAGCATTATTATATGCTATGTAGGGATATAACAGATCGTAGAATGCCCCTTCAGCTCAAGGGAAAATTTACAAAACGATCATTAGACCTGTCGTGATGAATGTTGAGCGACGAAAGTAAAGCATGAAAGAGGAGTGCATGCGGCAGAGATGCGAATGTTGAAATGGACGCGAGGAGTAACAAGAATGGACAAGATAGAGAATGAGTATTTCAGAGGAAGTGTGAAAGTAGCCCCGGTAAGCAACAAATTAAAGAGCGGACGGTTAGCGTGGTATGGACATGTGATGCGTAGAGAGAAGATGCATGTGACTAGGAGATGTATGGAAATGGTAGTGCAAGGTAGAGGGGGAAGAGGTCGACCGAAGAAGACATGGACGGTGTGTGAATGACGATATGAGAGAAAGAGAAGTGAGTGTTGAGATGACGGCTAATAGAAGAGAATGGAAGAGAAAAATTTGCTGTGCCGACCCCACCTAGTGGGATAAGGTGGAGAAATAGAAGGAGAGAAGACGAGTTCACGGCCCACCTGGTGTTTAGTGGTTACCGGAACCCATAAGACATCTACAACGTAAATGCCGCCACCCACCTTATGATATGAGTTCTAAGGTCTCAATATAGTTACAACGGCTGCCCCACCCTTCAAACCGAAACGCATTACTGCTTCACGGCAGAAATAGATGGGGTGGTGGTACCTACCCATGCGGACACACTAGACGTCCTACCAATTTCTAGTAAAAACATACAGTTTTAACGATGAAATGCAGGACTCGCATAGTACTGTGGGCTCAGGCACTACTTAACACACCAAATGTGCAGTCGTTTGGGCAAATGCAGTTTAAAATAGGAATCGGTGCAGTAAAACAGATAAAAGTAAAACTTATGTTTGATTATGATGTTATGATGAAGTTATTTCTTATTATGGACTTCAAACAATGTAACTAACGCAGACGGTCTGATAGCATACCTATCTCTTCTGAATAGATAACACAGACAATCCTCATATCTCAGAAATTCAGATTCTACCTCTAATTACTAGTTCTAATCTGACATCAACTCCAAAAACCTGCTAGATCCAACTAAAAAAAAGTGTGGGTGCACAAGTCACACTCAGTAGAAGTGAAACTTATAAAAAATATAAATAATCGCCAGGGTCAACCACTCCGCAGTGCAGTGGAGCAGCCTCACTCTGGGGGAACCGCCTACATAATCACGGTAATCCTACGCCAGATATGTATGATTTAGCAAGAGAAATACGAGAACGTGTATCAACTGTGTAACATCTCGTCATCGCGATTCAGGAATTGTTGAATTTACGTGCAGCAACATCAAAGTATCTCAAGACGTTCCGAGAACCACGACAGTGTACACGGACGTCAACAACACACTGAACTAGTCGGGGAGGCGAGACCGTGTGGAGCGCTTCGTGATTTGTCGGCGCCGCTCGGAGCCGCTTCGGCAAGCCAATCGCGGCACACTTATTTTTTCGTTTCATTTCATTTCGTTTCGTCGAGTTCTAAAGAAGTTTCTCTTCAATAAAAAAAAAATCAATACTCACCGAGAATGATGAAACGCTTCCTCGATTGATATGGCACCACCATCAAGCTCCGGTCCTTTTGAGAGTGATCAAATTCATCCAAAATATACAACTAAAAATAAAGTAGGAAAAAAATTATTTCAGTAATTTAGACACTACTTTAGGCACAATTGGTTTTATCACAATTGGTTTTATTTTAGTTAACGTAAATTTTTGTACAATTTCTACAGTTCTGTTTAGTTCTACAATCTAAACTAGTTTAGGTCAGGATCGACGTTCCGGTGGTGATGTCTATGGGCTGCAGAAATCGTTTAAAACTAAATAAGACGCGGGTTCGTTCACAAATATAGATTAATAAAAATAGTTTAGTAAATAAAACTTATAATACTTATCAATGAGAAACAATCAAATTAATCATTGATATTATATGATGTAAGAAACAACATTTTTATTTTATTTCATAATAGGTTGGGGAAAAAAGTCTTTTCGCATTATAGTATGTATGAGCTTGTAATAAAATCTCTTTGGCTATACTATTTGTATCTGGCTGGTTTTAGTATCATTAAAAGTTTAAATTGTAAAGAAGATAATTCCAAATTCAAATTAGAAAAATGTGTGATTTTTATTTATTTTTCGTACTGCCAAGATGAGTGAATCTAATGAAAAAATTCGATAAATTTTAAAATTTTACTACAAAAAATGTAAAAATGCAACGCAGGCCGCGCAAAAAAATTGTGATGTTTATGGACCTAATGCAGTGTCTGTGAAAGTAGCACAAATTTGGCTTAAGCGTTTTCAATCTGGAAATTTTGATTTCAAAGATGCACGTCGTTCTGGTCGCCCTATTACGGATAAAATGGATGCCATTTTTGAAAAAGTGGAGCAAGATCGGCATATCAGTAGTTACGACGTAGCTGAAGAACTGGGAATTGACCACAAAACAGTTTTGGTGCATTTGAAAAAAAACTTCGATAACAAAAAAGTTCGATATTTGGGTACCTCACGAACTCACTAAAAGAAATCTAATGAACCGTGTTTGTGATTCTTTATTACGACGTAATGAAACCGAACCATTTTTGAAGAAGCTGATAACTGGTGATGAAAAGTGGATCACGTACGACAAGAAAGTGCGAAAAAGGTCGCGGTCAAAAGCCGGTTAGGCTTCAGACTGTGGCGAAACCCGGGCTAGCTCGCAACAAGGTGATGCTGTGTGTGTGGTGGGATTGGAAGGGCATTATTCATTATGAGCTGTTACCACCAGGCGGGACCATCGATTCTGAACTCTACTACGAACAACTGACGAGATTAAAGCGAGAAGCTGAGAGAAAGCGGCCGGAATTAATCAACAGAAGGGTCGTGGTTTTTTATCAAAATAACGCTAGACCTCACACATCTTTAGCCACTCAGCAAAAATTAGCTTGGCTGTGTGGTGTCAATGCATGTGTAGTATAGTCCTGACCTTGCACCTTCAGCTTTCCACCTGTTTCGGTCTCTTCGGAATTCTTTAGGCAGTGTCAGGTTAACATCACGAGAGGACTGCCAAAACCAATTGTCGCGGTATTTTGATCAGAAGCCCCAAAATTTCTATAGTAATGGGATCATGTCCCTACCTACAACATAGCAAAAAGTTATCGAACAAAATGGTACCTACATACTTTAGTTAAATGTAAATAAACTATATTAAAAAAGTTGTGAATTTTCTTAAAAAATGCGAAGAAACTCATTCCCCAACCTTATACATTGCCTACATTTTGATGTTTCAATATTTTTTTAAAATATTAGTTTTGAGCTTACAAATACTACTTCACCTGTTCTTGATGATCACCCACGTAGAGCATTTGTCCCATAATATTGCTAGAGCGAGAATCCTGCCACAGGCTATTTCGCAGGTTACCGTCGTAAAGTTCCCATACATCCGTTATTGGCGCGTCTAACTATTTATTAAAAAAGTTTTTAATTAATTCCTTTAACCTCTCCAATAGCTTTTTTATATTTATCAAAAGGATAGGTCTCTAATCGTAGACATACAATTTAAAGCTAGAGAAACTAATTTATGAAGCTTACATCAACAAAATTATAAGACAGTACTGCTTTATGTACATATATATGTATCAAACTTCTGTATTAATCGATCAAACCCTTCTAATAAACGATAAATGTCAGCAACAGAACAGCTTCAATTCACAAAGCTATAATAAAGCTTACTAGATGTACTAAAAAAATCGGAGTATACAAAATGTGATTGACTTACTTTATGTTCCCACAGCGGCTTATTTAGATCTCCGCTTAAGACAGTAACCAGCTGGTTATGCATTGATACGTGCATATTCACTGGGGATTCGGTTACAATCCTATCCCCAATACACTCTCCACGGCTTATCTGCAATTCATGTGCGGCAGTGCTAAAATTCCATCTGAAATTGCATTAAAATTATTTATTTGGTTTTTGTATTTATGTTGTGATTTTGTAGTCTATATTAATATTGATGAGATAATGCCTTCAGCCATAGCTAGCAGACTAAATAGATTATAGTAAGTAGCAGCTTGGCTTTATTCTTGGTCTTATTAATGTGCATGAGTGACAATGACCAAAGGAACATAAAAAAATTGTCACTTCATTAAAAAAAAAAGTAAAACGATAAATCATTTCTTACTTCTCAATGCCTGTTCTAGGGTCTAGGCCTCTGATAGCAGTGGCTTGCCGAGTCAGTACCAGTACATCTCCTCCAGTCTCTGTGGTTTGCTGTTCATTGTTGCATCCATTAGAGTTACATTTGTATATAATACGACCTGTTTTTGTGTCTATGCCTATCCGTAGTATGTCATGTCCGCCTGAAAATAATTATTTTACAGGCCCAGAATGAAACTTGATGTTAACAAAAAATATTTCACAAATAATTAGAATTTATGACAATCACTTTGAATTATGACAAGTTTGTAAATTGAATATACAACTTGTGTTTTTATTATTTAATTAATTGAGTTAATACACTTAAACATAACAGCACATGTCTAAGTATATAACTACATACAAATAATCATATAAACATGTAGTGTATTAGTGACGGTACTTATTCTTCTTTTAATAAAAGGAGTGTTAAGTGTTACTTTAACAAACTTCACAAAACTGATATGTTACTTAGCATATGTGTTTTACAAATAAGTGAATAAGGAAACTCACAAATACACTCTTAATTCATATTAATATTTTAATTTAATTTAAAATTATCACTGCCTGAACATTTTCATTTCACGATTCTCCTTGAATTGTGACTGCCATTTCTATTGTATAATAACTTACAAGAATAACTCACTACTACTTTGTGACAGGCATATGATGGCTGTAGCTGCCTTTGTTGCATATATTAGTAAATAGTAAATAGTAGAAATATTACAAAAATTGAATCAGAAAGAAATGAAATGAAGAAAGAAAGAAAGAAAGAAAGAAAGAAAGAAAGAAAGAAAGAAAGAAAGAAAAAGAAATCATTTATTCGCCAAGCATATTAAAAATGAGTTATTACATAAGTTAAAAGCAGCGTGTATGCTTTGTCATTATTTGACATGTGAATTTTAGTGCAGTGCAAGATATTATAATATTATATAAATTACCATTCATTCATCCATAATTCAACTAATAATTAATTCCATTTATTTTCAATGTCGTCCCTAAGAAAATCATTTATGGGATAATAATTTCCACTAATAAGATATCTTTTAGATTTTTCTTAACATGAAAATCGTCTAAGTCTCTTAATTTCTTTGGTAGTTTATTAAATATCCTAACACTCATACCTAGTATAGTATTATTCTTTTTAATTTTTAGAATTTTAAGCATTTTTAAGTTCTCAACAAATAACATATAAAATAAAGGTCTACTGAATGAATAAACAATTAGGAGAGATTTGCATAAACTCAAACAACATAACAATCATGTTTCCTATAAACTGAAGATTTAAATAGTTATTCTACAGAAATTGAACATAAAATATTTTTGTACTTACCAGCAGTGATGAGATTGTTAGACTCGGTAAATGATTCAGACAATAGTTGATGTATATTGAATGGTAAACGTTTGATCTTTGATCCATGTACAGTGTACAAGCTGCCTCTTAGTGAAGGCACTAATTTCACTCTATTTTCACCACTAAACTCACTGCTAGCCAAGTTTGAGGACAGCAATGGTGGAGTCTCAACAACCCAAGCTTTGGTGCCATTTTCCAGATTAAATGCAGTAAGGCGACCATCCAAAGTGCTCACCATTACATAACTAGAAAGACATTAGTTCATAATAGGTAATTTATTATTGTTTCTCTAATCAACAAGCTGCTACATATTTTTTACAGCAAGAAGTTTCAATAAGCCTATTCCAATGTATTGAATAGTGACAAAAAAAATTTAAGGTCTACTATTTTATATGACAACATTTGCCAAATTAATATTGTATTGTTCATAGTTTTATACAATTAATATAAAGATAATTTCTCAGTAGTAACAATATTATTGTAACTTGTTTGCTCGTTCATTCGTTTTTTTCTTATATGAAATAACTGAAACCTGTTAATTATTTTTGTAAACAAATGCTGGATTCAGTTTGGTTTGTAAATTCAAATGGATGTGTGGATTATGGAAATAGGTTTTTTATGGAAACTAACTTGTTTAAGCTTGATCCCTTAGTCTTCGAAAGATTGCAGTGCGGTAGCTGTAGTGGAACATCCTCTGCTTGAAGATAACAAACAAGGTACGATAACGCAATAATAGTAGACAAAATCTTCATCAAACCGAATTGGTCCAACATTTTATTATTGCGAAATTCAATGCGGACATGTCAAAAAGAACTGGTAATTTGATAATATTATGAAAACTTTTAAATTGTTGCGAATTTACGAAATTCACAAAACTATTCAATCGCATAGAACTGACCAAAGCTTTCAATTTGTTATGTGTCAAATGGTACGTAACTGTCAAGCAAGTACGTACACGTATTGACCAGTGCTGCCCAATATTTATTTTACTTTTTGTACCGTCAAAATAGTATTTATAAAAATAATACAAGATAATCGAGTCAATTAAAGTTTTATACAGGGTGTTCGGAACATTGAGGCCCAAAAAAAAAATAATAGGTCTCTCGTGTTGTGAGATATGCGAATCACCCCCATGTATGTTCCGCGATTTTTGATAGTTTTCGAGTTATAAATTTTTTTCTAACTTTTCGAGAACTTTGGACATGGCCCACTTAAAAAAAAAAGTTTTAAATATTTGAAGACTTTTCGAGACTTTTTTTTTGCAACTAATTCTCTACAAGTTGTTCTTTATACATAAAATAATCAGCTTCGTAACTTTTAAGAAAGTTGCAAAAATTTTGGGTTAAAAAGAAAAATTTACGGGCGGTGAATTAGACTTACATTTTCAACCGAAATTACCTAAATGAAACATACCCCAACAGATGGATCGGACGCAGTGGACCAATTAGATGTGGCCCCCACGCTCACTTGACCTCAACCCCATCGATTTTTTCATTTGGGGCTATTACAAGGAAATAGTATACGCCCAAGAATTTTCTAGTGAAGAAGGGCTGAGGCAGAAGATTACAGAAGCCGAACGTGCTATAAAAGAGAACAGGGTAGTTTTTAACCGTTTAAAAGACAATTTTTTACGCCGGTGTAGAATGTGTATTGCTGCTGGAGGTAGTAACTTTGAAAACCTTTTGTAAAATTTAAAAATAAATTTTCACATTATCATCTATGTTTTAACCACTTCTTACTTGAAACTTTTTTTAAGCAACTTCGATATGTTTTGGTTAATTTCTAGCATTCTTTATCGTTAATTAACCTTAAGAATGATAAAATTGCCAAAATATTTTTTTTTGTAAGACCAATAAAATTTAAGAATTTTCCACCTCGCTGTCTTTGAAGGCCAATTTTAGCGAAAATTTTTGCAACTTCCATAAAAGTTACGAAGCTGATTATTTTATGTATAAAGAACAACTTGTAGAGAATTCGTTGCAAAAAAATAAGTCTAGAAAAGTCTTCTAATTTTTTTAAATTTTTTTTTAAGTGGGCCATGTCGAAAATTCTCGAAAAATTAGAAAAAAAATTCATAACTCGAAAACTATCAAAAATCGCGGAGCATACATAGGGGTGATTCGGATACCTCACAACACGAGGGACCTAAATTTTTTTTTTGGACGTCAACCCTTTATGATGTGATAAAATTTCAGGTAGAGTTGAGAAAAACCAACAAAATTGGTTAATAATTGCAGAATTACTTCGCAAAAAAGTCCAAGCGTTTATTTCTAATTAATTAGTTAGCGTTAGTTTACATTTCAGTGGATTATTTGAATTTTCATAGTCATTCTAATTTCGTTTATTCCCTTTCTGCTTGAAAATAAAAATACCGATCCCCGTATCAAAGCCACAATTAATATCAAAGTGGAAAGACAAATGGATAAATTTTAAAAGTCTTTTGTCTTATTTTTGAAATCTATATTCAAATAAAAGAGAAAATATGTGTGCAACCAGCTCATCTAAAATTATCTCAGTTAGCTTTCTGAATTGTCTTATGGCTTTTATGTATTTAATATAAAATCGCAATTTTTCGCAAGTGAAGCCACGATCGTAGCTAATAAAAATCATAAAAATGGCAACCATATTAGTTGGTTACTAAATAATTACTTTAAAATTGTTACTGTGTAGTTATTGTTAATTAAAAAGTGTACATTATTTTACAAATTGTAAAATGTACATCGAAAAAGAGTTTTTTTCCTATTTCAAAAGGTACCACAACACAACAAACGTGTATGGAATGTTGAACTGGTTTATTCAATAGGTAATGTGTAATGACTAAGAGACTGTAATGAGGTTTGTGTTTTGCTCATAGGAGCATTGTTGAACACTCACAACAAATAGCTACCTAGAAAAACTTTATTTCTTTGTTACGTCATGTATTGATAATGATATGTTAAATGATAATTATATATTTAGCAATAAATTATAGCCTTAATATTACGAGTTTTTGATCGAGATTACCAGTTGACCTCAGATAATTCTCTGACCGCACGCTCTACGCCCTTTATCTTGAAAGCAGTTTGAGGGAGTCCATATAGGGTCCTTTCTTTATTTCGCCGTAAAGTCGTATTTTATGTAATTAACACCATAGTTGAAACAATAGAATTTTTATTGTTGTAGCGGCATAAACAATTCTAAGTTATAATATTATATTAGTTATTAAACACATTATAAATTATTTTACGTTTTAAATTTTTGGCGGTAAAAAGGTCCCGTGTCACAGACTTTAATCTTTTACCTCTGGTGAGTTCCGGCTTACGCATCATAAAAATGTGTGTTCTTAAACGCCACAAGTTCAAGGTATAAAAAAATGTTAAATAGAAAAGTTAGATTATTATCAGTATTGTAGGGAATTTAATTCTCTAATATACACAATAATAAATACAAATAGCGTGGAAAAAACCCATGGAAAACGAGATTTTCGCCAAAATAAAATAAAAAAATTTTTTTTTAACATTGACCGCTGTCTTTACATTTTATGTGAATTTTGAAAATAGTTGTAGGATGCCAAAATAATTATTTTTTTATGTGGTAATATACTGGATATATCAATTTTCTGAGGTTAACCCCCTATAATGACTGGACTAGGCCGCGTATACGGCCCGCCTGAAGCGTACAATATCCCTACTAGTTTTATTAGATCAGGGACATTTCTGACCTCTAACAGGTACCTCAGAAGAAGGAATAAACAACCAACCACGATGTGCATAATTTACGCTTTCCATCACAGTCCGTTGACATACATTTATTGCAAAATTCTTCGACACCCAGATATCTTCCGATGACCAAGGTGAAAGCGTGGTATGGTAACCTGGATGAGATTCCTCACAATCTGAGAAATGGGTGGCCTGTGTCACGAGCTGGGAGAGGCCATAGGCCGAGAAGAAACCATAGACAGCCCGAACCGGGATGTCAATGGTCCTGGGTCCCAACCACTTTTGGTAGTGACCGTTACAGTCTCCTAGGTCCACCACATCTGCAGGTGGCAAGCAAGTGTAGATTCGGATACAGCCCCCATGTTAAGCGATAGTTGTACTCCAATAAGTAGCAGTGATATTTTAAACCTACCAGATATTATCTAGAGCAGATATCTGCGTTTCCGTCAGAAAATGTAATTTCAAGGTTGCTGTGCAAGGTTTCGTGGAGTCGGAGTGGTGGGGCTCGATGGGGTTTAGTCGGTAGTCGTTCTGCGGGGCAAGTGCTTCGCGCGCCTTTTTCAAGGCGTAGTCTCCTGTGAGAAATTGGGGGAGGTGAAGGACCTCGGCTCTTCTCTTCTCCCCTTCTTCCTCTCAGGAGGCGCCGGAGTCCGACATAACCCGGTCCGTTACCCCCNATCATCTAGAGCAGATATCTGCGTTTCCGTCAGAAAATGTAATTTCAAGGTTGCTGTGCAAGGTTTCAAGCTCAGGTTGCTGTGTAAATCCGTAACATTCCTAAAATTCACATTAGAGGTGAAATGGATATCCGCCACCAAAACCTATTTCCTTTTTCAGACTTTCATAATTTATTTTTAAGCTTTATTGAGAATTTACTCATTTACATGAACTATTTTTTTTCATTTGTGCATGTGGGATTTGCAAAGGGGTTTCCATAGACAATATTCTACTATATTTTTGTTTATAAATTTGACAGACGCATTTCCACATCCTCGACTTGTGTTTGCGCTTTTTATGCGATAAATTTTAATAGAAGACCTGTTGCAGTTTGAACAGTACAATTCTAAACATATATTTAACTACCCCCTAATCTTGTTAATTTTCCCTTTGAGATTCTGAATATGACTCTGGGAACATATAACAGGCATCAGGCTGAGAGGAAAAAGTAAGGAACAAATTTTCTTCCAACATTAGTTATCATGAAAATACCATTTAACCTGGACTGATATTCTTTTTTTTAGGCAAGCAGCTCTGGCTGCTGCTTTTCCTCAAGGCATAAGATGCCAGAAGTGCTTGGAGTTTGGACACTGGAGCTATGAGTGCAAGGGCAAACGCAAGATCCTAGTTCGTCCTTCACGTACACGAATCATGCATAAGAATCTGAAAGCCAAAGAAGAAGGTCAATGCAGGTAAAATGCAATTTCGTCTTTCAATAAAGTTCTAGAACCACCCTCCATATTTTGTTATGATCTACCTAATGCTTTTATACTGGTAATCTTTATATTGTTAAATAACTATTAATAGCTTACGAAGTTTCTCTAGGTAACCATGATACTTTTTCATTTTATATAAAAAAATGTGATTCTGATTTATAATTTAACTTTTGTGGAGGGTAGATGGTGGGAAAGTTATATGATGACTTCATACCTACCCAATTTATTCAAATTGGTAGTTTTGAAGTCAATAATTATTTCATTCTAAAAATTATTTCAAATGCTTTCAAAACTTTAATACCTACATGTCTGTCTTATGAATAACTGCTGACATCAACTTGTACATCATAACATCTTGTTTAACATGAATTTGATCTTGAATGTAATAGGATACATTTTATTCCCGAGTGTTAGTTTTAAGAAAACTTTAGTTCTGGACTTCAACAATAAATGACACTGCCTTAATTATAAAACACACTAATCCCAGTAATTTTTCTAAGGGCTAATAGTTCAATGTTAATGTTATTTAAATTTAATATAATATATTTAGTAAAATTATCATTATTATTCTGATTTTCTTGCTAAATGGCATGGTACTTTTTAGATNACTATTTTTTTTCATTTGTGCATGTGGGATTTGCAAAGGGGTTTCCATAGACAATATTCTACTATATTTTTGTTTATAAATTTGACAGACGCATTTCCACATCCTCGACTTGTGTTTGCGCTTTTTATGCGATAAATTTTAATAGAAGACCTGTTGCAGTTTGAACAGTACAATTCTAAACATATATTTAACTACCCCCTAATCTTGTTAATTTTCCCTTTGAGATTCTGAATATGACTCTGGGAACATATAACAGGCATCAGGCTGAGAGGAAAAAGTAAGGAACAAATTTTCTTCCAACATTAGTTATCATGAAAATACCATTTAACCTGGACTGATATTCTTTTTTTTAGGCAAGCAGCTCTGGCTGCTGCTTTTCCTCAAGGCATAAGATGCCAGAAGTGCTTGGAGTTTGGACACTGGAGCTATGAGTGCAAGGGCAAACGCAAGATCCTAGTTCGTCCTTCACGTACACGAATCATGCATAAGAATCTGAAAGCCAAAGAAGAAGGTCAATGCAGGTAAAATGCAATTTCGTCTTTCAATAAAGTTCTAGAACCACCCTCCATATTTTGTTATGATCTACCTAATGCTTTTATACTGGTAATCTTTATATTGTTAAATAACTATTAATAGCTTACGAAGTTTCTCTAGGTAACCATGATACTTTTTCATTTTATATAAAAAAATGTGATTCTGATTTATAATTTAACTTTTGTGGAGGGTAGATGGTGGGAAAGTTATATGATGACTTCATACCTACCCAATTTATTCAAATTGGTAGTTTTGAAGTCAATAATTATTTCATTCTAAAAATTATTTCAAATGCTTTCAAAACTTTAATACCTACATGTCTGTCTTATGAATAACTGCTGACATCAACTTGTACATCATAACATCTTGTTTAACATGAATTTGATCTTGAATGTAATAGGATACATTTTATTCCCGAGTGTTAGTTTTAAGAAAACTTTAGTTCTGGACTTCAACAATAAATGACACTGCCTTAATTATAAAACACACTAATCCCAGTAATTTTTCTAAGGGCTAATAGTTCAATGTTAATGTTATTTAAATTTAATATAATATATTTAGTAAAATTATCATTATTATTCTGATTTTCTTGCTAAATGGCATGGTACTTTTTAGATAGAGCCATGATTTCATTGCTGTGCTTTAATTAAAGATGCAGATTATTAATGTTAAAGCTTTGTTCTAAAGAAATTTAAGGGTACTTTTGTCCTACCTATGCTGATAGCCTTCAGAGGCTATTTCAGCTTCTTGACTTGTAGGTGAGCTCACGGGACTCAAACCGGGAGTGTTGCTAACACTGGCCCTAGCAAGAGCAATACTTAGTGGAATCTACCACTGGATCGGAAACACGGCCCACTGAGAAGATCCGATGAGAAACTTAGTGGGCTGTGTCTATGGGTTAATTTACGGTCACTGATGGTAAACAGTGGTTGTGGTACCTAAAAGCACCGTTAATGAATGGGAGGGATCTGTAATGACGTGTTTAGGGCGATGTCAACTGTTTACCATTCAGTCTACAGGATTGGGTATGTTTAAGGGTTGGCTATCTGTGTTTTATATGATAAAATTGAAAGGCCCCTGGCTTATTTGTACCTGTATTACAGTTTTCTTTAAGAATAGCTATTTTCAGTATTACTATTAATAGAAGCCAGGGCCAAATGCTGATGTCACAGGAATTCATCTGGGTACTTCTTGCTTTTCTTATATATATCAAATATACTTTCATATATTAGATCTTCAAGGGCATCAAATGCTCAAAACTTGCACAGGTCAAAATAATACATCATATAATGTGGTGCAAAGATATTGCAACAAATTAGTCCTCTATTGTGGCGTGGTTAACATAAATGTTTTAACTTCTGTTACATTTTTAAGGTTTAAATATATTCAGGCTTTGTTTACAATGTATTATGGTTGATTATTATTATTTATTTTTTTATTGCTTAGATGGATGGACGAGCTCACAGCCCACCATCCCATAGACATCTACAACCATCTTGAGATATAAGTTCTAAGGTCTCAGTATAGTTACAACGGCTACCCCACCCTTCGAACCGAAACGCATTACTGCTTCACGGCGGAAATAGGCGGGGTGGTGGTACCTACCTGCGCGGACTCCCAAGAGGTCCTACCACCAGTGTAAATTAAAAGCACAAATGTTGGTAACAAGTCAGTTCAGTGTGTCTGTTTTTATACAACCCTTACTAAAACACTACATAATGTAGCTTGGAATCAGTGGTTTTTGTTTAATATGAGGGATATGAACATTATAAATGCATAAATGCAGAAAATATTAGCATGTTTTATACTCAATTAAGTATAATCTGTTGACCAGATTTGGGTAAATTTTCATCTTGGGAAAGTTACTTTTGATGTGNAATGTTAAAGCTTTGTTCTAAAGAAATTTAAGGGTACTTTTGTCCTACCTATGCTGATAGCCTTCAGAGGCTATTTCAGCTTCTTGACTTGTAGGTGAGCTCACGGGACTCAAACCGGGAGTGTTGCTAACACTGGCCCTAGCAAGAGCAATACTTAGTGGAATCTACCACTGGATCGGAAACACGGCCCACTGAGAAGATCCGATGAGAAACTTAGTGGGCTGTGTCTATGGGTTAATTTACGGTCACTGATGGTAAACAGTGGTTGTGGTACCTAAAAGCACCGTTAATGAATGGGAGGGATCTGTAATGACGTGTTTAGGGCGATGTCAACTGTTTACCATTCAGTCTACAGGATTGGGTATGTTTAAGGGTTGGCTATCTGTGTTTTATATGATAAAATTGAAAGGCCCCTGGCTTATTTGTACCTGTATTACAGTTTTCTTTAAGAATAGCTATTTTCAGTATTACTATTAATAGAAGCCAGGGCCAAATGCTGATGTCACAGGAATTCATCTGGGTACTTCTTGCTTTTCTTATATATATCAAATATACTTTCATATATTAGATCTTCAAGGGCATCAAATGCTCAAAACTTGCACAGGTCAAAATAATACATCATATAATGTGGTGCAAAGATATTGCAACAAATTAGTCCTCTATTGTGGCGTGGTTAACATAAATGTTTTAACTTCTGTTACATTTTTAAGGTTTAAATATATTCAGGCTTTGTTTACAATGTATTATGGTTGATTATTATTATTTATTTTTTTATTGCTTAGATGGATGGACGAGCTCACAGCCCACCATCCCATAGACATCTACAACCATCTTGAGATATAAGTTCTAAGGTCTCAGTATAGTTACAACGGCTACCCCACCCTTCGAACCGAAACGCATTACTGCTTCACGGCGGAAATAGGCGGGGTGGTGGTACCTACCTGCGCGGACTCCCAAGAGGTCCTACCACCAGTGTAAATTAAAAGCACAAATGTTGGTAACAAGTCAGTTCAGTGTGTCTGTTTTTATACAACCCTTACTAAAACACTACATAATGTAGCTTGGAATCAGTGGTTTTTGTTTAATATGAGGGATATGAACATTATAAATGCATAAATGCAGAAAATATTAGCATGTTTTATACTCAATTAAGTATAATCTGTTGACCAGATTTGGGTAAATTTTCATCTTGGGAAAGTTACTTTTGATGTGGGTGAAGGTGCTTGCAGAAGCTACTTGTAAATAAGTTCAAGCATTGTAATTAAATAATAGGTCAATAATAAGCACACCACTAACAGATCATGAAACATTGTCATCCAGAGGTTGTGTAAGATATATGATATGAAGTTGTCCGATGGTAAAATGTTAGTTTATCATTGATATCTGAACTAATATGTTCACTTAATCTGCTCATGTGGTTTTTCAAATTTTGAAAAGTTGTTTGGTTTTAGTAGAACTTATGTTTAACATATCATGCAGATTTTTTGTAGTGTTTTCTAAATAAATAAAGCAATTATTTTAGATGTTTATTGAACATGGTATTTTATTCACAGCAATGGCAGCTGCAAGATACCCAACAAGAAAAAGCGTGAAGAGGACTGCAAAGACTGCTCAGACAAGAGCTCATCGGAGAGCTCTTCTGATTCGTCATCGGAGGGTTCGAGCTCGTCTGGTAGTGACAGCAGCAGTGAATCGGAGAGCGAGTCTGATTCAGAGAGCAGCAGTGGTTCTGAATCTGGCAGCGATTAAGACAAGAAAATGTAAGCGTTGATATTCTTTTCAATGCTAGAGGGAAGATGCTTATTCTCAGATGAGTTTTGAACTTGATGCTAGTCTATTATTGTCTTGTATAATTCTTATTTTCAACAAACTTATACTTCCAAATTTTTATTTTCTTATTTCCTAACTAATTTTATTTATCCTTTCTTCAAATTCCTTCATTGAATAGTTTTTGAGTCGAAATACGTCACTCTCTAGTATTAAAAGAATTTTCTTAAATATAAGTTCATGTAATAAATTGAAAATAAATTTGCAAAAGCGGGTTATAATTAATTTGATGCTGGACATTGTTTTCTTTTAATTTATTATTTAAATATCTCGCTGTTTCGTTTGTATTTACCAGTACCATTTGATAGAAAATGGGCAGACAGCTTTTTACGTCTAAAAATATTTTGAACACAAAAAATATAAATGGTATGTAGTTTTTAAGATTTTAACATTATTGTTGTATGTGTGTGTCGATAATCGTAATTTTAGTGTTGTATCTTGTATGTTGTGAAAGTATTCATTTTACAGGCCAAGAGCCAATAAAGAATTTTGTCAAGGACTTAAACAAGATCTTACTTTCATACACTTATTGAGGCTTTTAGTTAGCACTTAAGTTTAGATTCATTGAATTATTGAGTGTGAGATTTTAATAATTTTAAGTAGAATTTAAATTAGAATAAATTTGTTTACATCCGCAAACTGCAGTTTGATTTTGTAAAATATTAGGAATGGTTTATTATTCTGTAGATTTCAACTCAATATTAGATTCTTGCATTGTCATAGACATAGTATATTGTTAAAAATATTTGTGTATCATTAGCAATCTTATTGTAATNGAATTATTGAGTGTGAGATTTTAATAATTTTAAGTAGAATTTAAATTAGAATAAATTTGTTTACATCCGCAAACTGCAGTTTGATTTTGTAAAATATTAGGAATGGTTTATTATTCTGTAGATTTCAACTCAATATTAGATTCTTGCATTGTCATAGACATAGTATATTGTTAAAAATATTTGTGTATCATTAGCAATCTTATTGTAATGCAATGTAGCGAATGTATGAATTTTTGATATATTAAATGTAATTTTAAAAAAATAAGCGTTTTATTTATTAAATATAATTAAAATGTCCATTATATTTTGTTTCTTACACATCAGTTTATTCAATGTACTTTAAAACTATAGATCACAATCTATTAAAATACTTAAAATAGCAAACATTTTAACACAAAATCGATGACGAAAGTTTCACTAAAATCAGGCAAGGCATTTATTTATGAGCTAATTATCCTTAAAATTATTTACTTTTTACGCATAAGGCGATCGAAATGATAAAATTAGTTAGATTTTTTTATCATTTTTAAATAGGAGCTGTGTAATAGCCTAACTATACTAAACTAAACTAGGGTAAAGGTGGGTTTTACTGTGTATATCGGCACATTGCGTCACATTGGCAATCGGCTATTGTTCACACTGTCGTAATTAAAATCCTTTTTTTATCTTCATAACTGCAATGTTTTTAGTGTTAATAGAACTCTGCTAAAATAAATTCAATGAATCAATCGTGTTATTGTTAGTTGAACAAGACGTAATCCGTGCCAAGATTTCTGTTACACATACAAAGTGGGCACGTTTCTCCTGTAGCTTTCGTAGGCAGATTGCAGCGTTTAAAAACAAGTATTTTTATCAGGTTTCACCGGACGTTAAGTGATCACCGAAGCTGACACAGGTGCGAATGTCACAACCGATCTTGGGACGTGAGGTCTCGACTTGTATTCTAGTGATGGTTGTCCTACATATTAAATCGGAATACTGGCTACTTGCGACATAAATAGTTAACACGGTAGTACCTAATTGTGCTTATTATGACGCAAAACAACGAAGAACACAAAATATGATACGTTTTATTATTATTGTAGATATAAGTTATTATATAGTAGATAATATAGATAACACAGACTGAAACGTCATGTGATAAGAAAGGTGACGGGTTGTGACATCTGAACCATGGTAATTCCTTATTAGTAGGGGGATCGGTAACTTCATTTATTCATACTTTTAGAAACAACTTCGCCGTAACGTAGTAAATATTTAGAGAACATTATATTCTTCTCTCATATTCAAAACGAATCGACTCTTGCAAACTTTTATGACTAAAACAACTTCAGTGAAAGCCTTAATTCATAATTATTAAATCTCAAATGCTTGTAAATTAAAACAATAAAAAAATAATATCATAAAGAAAATTGAAGCCGATGGACTTTGTTTATTTTATGAAGCACTGGGCACTTCGGGTAGTAAGTGCACAATTACCTTCCTCTTTTGATCATAACTGAAATTATTGATTTTAAATATGTTACTGTCATAAAATGGTTTCAGATCCGTTATGTTTATTTGACGGGCCCTCTCGAGCAGATCTCTCTCGGAGATTTCTATTGTTGATTGTGAATGGTTGTGGAGGCCTCTCATGTAGGCCAGTTGGTCTATGGTCAGCTGCCTCAGGATGTAATAAAGCAGCTCACTGTGATCCTTTTTGTAGGATAAATACTTTTGGAACGTCTGTAAGAAGAAAAATAATATTATTTAAATTATATAGCTGGTAATGAGTAAATAAAACCTGAAACATCGAGCCACTAAAACCGAGATCTAACTGTGCTTAGTGCGAGTTTTTTAACGTTCTGGAAGGCGTAAAAGTTAGCTCATATTTGTATGCAATGGGATCGCTTGCGTACGTTTGCCGCTAGGGGCGCTGTTCCAACTGCATACAAAATTGAGTTAACTTTTACGCTATCGAGAACGTTAAAGAACTCGCACTAAGCACACAGCTCTCGTGTCGTGCCGGGAACACGTACGTGAGACTATGGAGGGTAGAGAGGTAAGGAGAATCGGCTCATATGGGAGAAGCTTGAAAAAGTGTCCCACTTTCAGCACTAAATAACAGTTCAAGCATCCTTCAGAATGGCGCTAGCATAGGCACAGGGTATGATATGAATTGAGCAGTTGTTCACTGATTGAATTATGCTGAGTTAGGAAATTTAATATATTTAATGAGTAGAGTAGTTAGTGACAGTGTAATATACAAGACCTCACATGTTTACGCAGTCCAAACTAATTTCGTCAATATAACCTAAAATTTTCACTGGTGGTAAGACCTCTTATGAGTCCGCCCGGGTAGGTACCACCACCCCGCCTATTTCTGCTGTGAAGCAGTAATGCGTTTCGCATTGAAGGGTGGGGCAGCCGTTGTAACTATACTGAGACCTAAGGTCTTCTAACTTATATATCTAGGTGGGTGGCGGATTTACGTTGTAGATGTCTATGGGCTCTAGTAACCACCGCTTAACACCAGGTGGGCTGTGAGCTCGTCCACACATCTAAGCATGAAAAAAAAGTGGTAAAACGTGGAGACATCGATTGCATTTTCTTATCAGTTTTAAATAACATACTTTTTGTGATTTTGTAGTGCTTACAGCTCTTTCGTCCTTTTTTATTTCTCTATCTTATTCTAATAATTTTCAGCGCCTTTTTTAAATTTACCCTTATTTAGGAGATTTTAAGGGACACTTATTACACACAGAGACGGTTCTCCTTACCTCTACCCTCCATGCGTGAGAAAAATCCGAATTATTATATATAAATCCGAGCGGTTCTACAGTCGTTCATTAACTACTTTGCCTTTGAGTGTTAATAACATTTCGTATATAGTTCGTTGCCTATATAATTGAAGTGGCTTGATTCAAAATACTTTAATTTTTTGGCTAACTCCGAAAATGTAATTAAAGAATTATTGTAATGTTTTAGTTTTTCAAATTTAATACCATAAGGTATGCAGCTTTTGATTTAAAAGAGACGGAATGAGTACGTTTTTCATTTTCTGGACTAAAACTGTATTTTATAAACTTTAAGGCTTCGTCAAACAGAACGCGTAATTAGCGCGCGTCAGAGCGCTAAACGAACGCCGCGCTATGACGCCGAGATGTGTTGTACTACTATGGTAACATACCGTCAAACAGAGCGCCAGCGCTATAAGTACGCAACGCTCTGTCGCGGCGTTAGGGCTGTTTGACAGTATATTACCATAGTAGTACATCTCGTCGATAGTAACACATCTCGGCGTCATAGCGCGCCGTCACTTTAGCGCTCTGACGCGCGCTAATTACGTGTTCTGTTTGACGAAGCCTTAAAGAATACATGTTTACATAAGTCTTTCGCAGTATACGTAAAAATTTTTAGTTAGGCCACTTCAATTCTAACGATGCCATATACGAAAGGTGGAGGTTGGGTCCGCGCTGTAGATTTTTTGTGGTAATTTCCACAGAGTTCCACACCTGTATTTCACGTACTTATTACATTCTATAAGCACAAAACGTTCAACTGGGAGACACGAGGACAAAGATTCAGCTGTACACACACCGGAATGCACGACTGGTTTAGTGATTACGTATGACTAGATAATATTATTATACCGCAGATATTTGGTAGTCATGCTGGTGTAAAAATACGTACAATTACAATCTGTCCGTTGTGACTTTAATCATCGTTTAAACATTATTAATATTGATGTAATTAAAAGTTAAAATCTATCGGGATTTCGTCACAAAAATTATAAGTTGCGTAATTACTGGTGGTAGGACCTTTTGTGAGTCCACGCGGGTAGGTACCACCACCCTGCCTGTTTCTGCCGTGAAGCAGTAATGCGTTTCGGTTTGAAGGGCGCGGCAGCCGTTGTAATATACTGAGATCTTAGAACTAATATTTCAAGGTGGGTGGCGCATTTACGTTGTAGATGTCTATGGGCTCCAGTAACCACTTAACACCAGGTAGGCTGTGAGCTCGTCCACCCATCTAAGCAATAAAAAAAAATAAAAAAAAACTATGTAGGTAGAGGATGGTGCGCGGTGTGACCTGTCTCATGGCTCGCATGACGCTGTACTTCTGCGTGTCGACGAAGCTCTCCAGCATGGTGCGGATGGCCACGTTCACGTCCTCCTCGCTGACCTGGCTCCGTAGGTGCATGCGGGCGTGAGCCTCGCACATGCGGATCACTGAGACAGACAGACATTACACATTTTAAATCTATATATATAAAAATGAATTGCTGTTCGCTAGTTTTTTTTTATTGTTTAGATGGGTGGACGAGCTCACAGTCCACCTGGTGTTAAGCGGTTATTGGACCCCAAAGACATCCTCAACGTAAATGCCCCACGAAAAAGACCTAACAGCTCAAGGGCAGCTGCTTCGAGAATGCATCTACTGCCGGATCGGAATCACGACCCACTAAGAAGGTCCGGTGGAAAACTTAATGGGGTCTGTTTATGGGTTAGGTGCGGTGACCCCCCTGTGCCTAACTAAGACCTAGGCCGCACTACGGTTTTTTCCCGGGAGCGGTTAACCGTTGTGACCATGAAACCTCTTAAGACGCACACACTACAATTATTACCCGCGAATTCGCCCGCGATTTTCACAGTTTGAAGATGGACAAATTTCAAAAGAGCAGTATGTAGCTCTGGTTGCTCTGGTACTAAGAAATAAAAAAAAAAAACAAAATGTGTGCAATTCACACGTGGTAGAAGTGAAACCTTCCAAAATTAAAATACAATTATCCTAAACGTCTTAAGTATATGTAAAATTTTGTCATTAGTAAATAATTGTAAGGTAGCGCCCTCTGTGAATTGATATTTTAATTTCACGTATAATCCTAAATTAAAATTCACTACAAGAGCTTGCATACACACGTTAGTNAATTAAAATTCACTACAAGAGCTTGCATACACACGTTAGTATTAAAAAATCTCACAGATGGCGCTGTATTAAATAGTATGTATATTTCTGTCTCATTCTTTGCTGGCTTCATCCTACACATTTTTGTATTTGTGTCTCTTACCTGTCGTTTTTTCCGTTGCATCCGGTTTGAAATCACAACGATTCTAAAGAAGTTTTCACTTCAAAAATACAACGAAAATTTCACAACTGTTGGGTCCATCCACTTACTAGCCGTAGATTTGAGAAAGGTTTCTTTCATAAGAAATATCAAAATTTAAGAAAAACCCTAGAGAAAGTTTTCAATTACCATCGGATGCCAGTAGTCAGTTTCATTTTTTTTTTATTGCCGTATAGGCAGACGAGCATACGGCCCACCTGATGGTGAGTGGTTACCGTCGCTCATGGACGTCAGCAATACTATGGGCAGAGCCAAGCCGCTGCCTACCGTTTAATACTCTCCACAAACATTCATGGAAATTTTTTAAATCAGTTTAAATCAGTCGCGGGAAAGAACCGCAAGTGCGGCCGCTTGTGTTCGTTTTCGTGTTTCATAAACTCACACGGTTAATAACCAATGCGGTTACACCGTAGTGCGGCCCGGGCCTAAAGCTGCAAGCGACGATTGAGTGGATGGATCGAGGGGATCCGTAAAAACTAGCTGCGTTTTTTTCTCAATTTTTATTAAAGTATCTTTCTTTGGTGGAATTCAGGACCTTGATATTTTTTGCAAACAGGAATGAGTTTGTACAGTTGCATCTTCATTTAAGTGCTCATCGATTGGCGATCGAATTTTAGCGGCAAATGTTCGATTCAGCTAATACAACTGATTTTGTACTGGTGGTAGTACCTCTTGTGAGCCCGCGCGGGTGGGTACCACCGCCCCGCCTATTTCTGCCGTGAAGCGTTTCGGTTTGAAGGGGGGGGGCTGTCGTTGTAACTATACCTGAGACCTTAGAACTTATATCTCAAGGTGGGTGGCGCATTTACGTTTGTAGATGTCTATGGGCTCCAGTAACCACTTTAAGCCAGGTGGGCTGTGGGCTGTGAGCTCGTCCACCCATCTAAGCAATAAATAAATAAAAAATACAAAATTAACAATTGTTTGTTTTTACGTTGTATTCATCGAAGTTACCTGATTCAATGTGTCGCACGGTGATGGGCAGGCTTCCCGTCGCGAGGGACTCCTGCCGGAGCTGACTGTACATTTTCGCGACTTTGTCCTGATCCATATTCTGTTGACGAAGAACAGTATTAATGCAACATTTTCATTGTTTCTGTACACGACGACTTCGGGGGGCGGCGGGGCGCGGGGTGCGGGGGCGGGGCGCGGGGTGCGGGGGCGGGGCGTGCGTGCACGTACCTGCAGCTTGGGGTGCACGTTCTCCCTGGAGTACACGATGTACTTCTTGAAGAGGTCCTGGGGCAGCACGAAGTCGGGGTCGGGGGCGGCGTGGTCTAGTGACGTCGCGGGCGAGCTCGGGTGGTGCCGCATGTGCGAGCTCACCACGAATCTGTTGGTTCACATCAATACATCAGATTTTTTTTCCTACCTTGCTGATATTTCTGAAATTGCTATCTACTTCAATTGTATATGTTTCAAAGGTATTTTAAGTATCCTTTATATGTAAATTGCTTATTCTTATTTATGTGTAAAGAAGCAATTTTTTTTAATAATTATTATTATATTACATTGTGTATTAATTAGTTATTTAACTAATTAGTGTATGTAAGTATGTGTATATGTATATATATGTATTTCACTGGATTGGTACACCGCGCGTAGTTCGTTACCAAATGATTCTTGTCCATCTGATGGTTATCTGGAAGAGATCGCTCTTAGCGACAAGACCGCCAATTGTACTTTTTTATATTTAATGTATCGCACTGTTTATTTGTTTTTTGGTGTACAGTAAAGAATACTCTCTCTCTCTCTCTCTCTCTAGCTGATAGCCTTGAGAGGCTATTTCAGCGTAACCTTAACTAGTAGGTGAGCTCACGGGGCTCAAACCTGACGACGTTGCTAACACGAACCCTAGCAAGAGCCGTGCTTCGCAGAATCTACCACCGGACCGGAAACGCGACCCACTGAGAAGATCCGGCGAGAAACTCAGTGGGCTGTGTCTGAGGGCTAATTTACTCGTCGAGCCCTTCGTCACAAGCGACGGGTTCGGCGAGGTCGGTGACCGGTGCTTGTGGTTCCTAAAAGCACCGTTAGTGGATCGGGAGGATCCGATATGACGTGTTTGGGGCGACGTCAACTGCTTTCCATTCTGTCCGCAGGTATCGGGAATGAATACATCACGTTACTCGACTGGCATTAAACTAGGCTTGGGCTTGTACAATGTGTGTGTGTGTGTGTGTGTGTGTGTGTGTGTGTGTGTGTGTGTGTGTTTTTTTTTATTGTTTATATGGGTGGACGAGCTCACAGCTAGCCTGGAGTTAACTACAACGTAAATGCCGCCATCCACCTTGAGATATAAGTTCTAAGGTCTCAGTATAGTTACGACGGCTGCCCCGCCCTTCAAACCGAAACGCATTACTGCTTCACGGCAGAAATAGGCGGGGCGGTGGTATCTACCCGCGCGGACTCACAAGAGGTCCTACCACCAGTGATCTAAGTGAGGTCTAGGTGTGTGCGCCCAGGGTAGGCCCGGTGTACCTGGCGAGGTGCGCGTCCCGCATGGGGTCGGGCTCGTCGCGCACGACGCACAGCACGTCGAAACGCGACAGGATGGGCTCGGACAAGGCAACGTTCTCTGAGAACGTGAGCGAGGCGTCGTAGCGCCCGCCGATGGGGTTGGCCGCCGCTATCACGGAGCACCTGCAAAAACAAACAGATCGAATTTCAAACTCTTCTGTCTCCTCAGAGAGAGGTCAAGGTTTGATTACACAGGGTTTGATTAGCGGTAGGCAGCCGCTTGGCTCTGCCCCTGGCATTGCTGAAGTCCATGGGCGATGGTAACCACTCAGGTGGGCCGTATGCTCGTCTGTCTACAAGGGCAATAAAAAAAAAACAATGACGTCATTATTTAATAAACTCTCTTTGATGGATATAAGATACAATTTAATTAACTTTTATGGCTTGATCTCGCGTTTACAGAAAGACAATATTCAATGTTAGCTTCTTTTTTTTATTGCCCTTGTAGGCAGACGAGCTGACGGCCCATCTGATGGTGAGTGGTTACCGTCGCCCATGGACTTCAGCAATGCCGGGGGCAGAGCCAAGCCGCTGCCTACCGCTTAATACTCTCCACAAGCCTCGTTTGAAGAAGGATATGTCATAGCGCTCGGGAAACACCGTGGAGGGGATCTCATTCCATAGCCGGATGGTACGTGGCAAAAATACTAAATAGCTAAAATACTAGTGCTTTTATGAAAGCGCAATGTTGTTAAGTGTACGCACTCAGACCCGCGTTGCTCACCTGGCGTGCAGTGACGTGACGATCCCCGCCTTGGATATGGATATGGACTGTTGCTCCATCGCTTCGTGTATGGAGGTCCGGTCCTGGTCATTCATTTTGTCGAATTCGTCGATGAGACAGACGCCGCGGTCCGCCAGTACTAGCGCACCGGCTTCTAGCGTCCACTCCCTGTGGGTCAAACAGGGACAAACGTGAGACAATAGGGCCAAGTTCGATGGCGTTGCTTTTTTAACACGTTGACTACCATGTGACCTACATGTAATAATAATAATAATAATAGTTCCTAACACACACAACATACAAAAAACAATAACTGAAAAAATTAGCAAGTACACAGAACTCAAAGATGAAGTGAGCAGAATTTGGCGACAGGAAAAATTATACATAGTACCCATAGTTCTCTCCTCAACAGGCGTCATTCCCAACCATCTTCTCCATAGCCTAAAACTATTAGACCTCAAAGAAACCCTCTACATAACTCTCCAAAAAGCCGCAATCTTGAATACATGTAGAATAGTCAGAAAATTCTTGCAGATACGACGAAAACGAAATTGCCCCTCATAATAACATACCGTCAACATAAATTTTCCTGACTACACGCTGCATTCACTTGGTTTAGGCCCGTGGATGTGGTTCAGACTAGCCAAAGTGCTAAGAAAAGATTAGCTTTCCGAAAAATAGTAATAAACATTTATTCCAAACATAAATTTACAACAAATGAAACAAAAATTAAAACAAAAATAACAAAGCTTGGAAACGGTTACCGGCTCAGCAATGCCTAACAGTACCGAGACAATCTGTACTGCGGCGCTGATCTTCCGCCGGCACCTGCGGAGGGACGTGCACACCAGTATCAGACCAACCAATCAATGTCTGAGCTTAGAATAATAACAACAACAACCATAACTACAATAACAACAATAAAAACAATGAAATACATATATTGAATTATAAAAAATTACAATTGCAATGCACAATTACAGTACGGAATAATTAAAATGTGGAATGTGACCTACACCGGTGCCCTACGTGGCGCACTGAAGTAATTATGTCGATTTTTTCCTAGAGCCTAGAGCCTACTACTACCTTATAGGCTAGGCTAGATATATAGTATAGTAGGCTCTAGGAAAGAGATATCTGAAGATACCGAGAATGAATCAATTTCTAAGAAACCTAAAATACTGAAACATACATTAAAACCAACAAAAGATGGTACAGTTAGGCCATGCAGACGCTTAGTAACAGAAATCGACATAATTACTTCAGTGCGCCACGTAGGGTACCGGTTACCTACATGGCAGTCAATGTGTTAATACGCTTTTATTTGCTTCAGACGTATGTATGTTTGTATCCGAGAACAAAGTCAGAACTGATATTTTTTTTGCATGCAGTACGTGCCGTGTGCGACTAAAGACAGCAATAGTTTAGAGTGAGAGCGCATGATCGCCGCCGCCATTTTCGATTCGTTTCTTTATTGGCGCGGCTTATACATTCGTTTATTAATACGCTTTCATTAGCTTCAGACGTATGTATGTTTGTAACGGAATCTTTGAACTTGATTTTGTGACCCCCTTCGAAAACGTCGGATTAACTCGAAATTTGGTATACATACTTATTAAGGGCCGATGACAATTCAATATTAAAAAAAAAAGTCCTTTTCAGGATATTATCAAAACAAACCCTTCTACTCATATCTGTTCATAAAATATTTATAACTACCGGATACCATGCATCATCCCTAGCTATTCGCTCGTAGCCTATGAGGCTATTTCATGAATTGAATGAATTTGGCATTAACGCCTTTGGCATTGATATTGTCAAAGTATATACAAAAATGACAGGTGCTTAAAGAGGAAAAAAATTTTACTAAATCTAAATACAAATAAATTTGGTCAGTTTTTCCATACGCGAATCTGTGATTTTAAGAGCAGCACAAACAAATATATGTTAGATTAACTATTTTAAAGATAAATATTTAATTAATAAAAATTAGTAGATAAAAAATTACACAATATTTAAATCTTTAAAATAGACTAAAGTTAATAAAGAATTAATATGAATAGACCGGGGAATGTCTTTTGGACGGATATCATAAAGAGGGGATACGATAGGTCCAATATATTTGGGAATAGCTGAAGTTGTTACCTAGTGGTTGGGTTCTTCCGGACGTAAGCGGTGAGGCCGACGGCGCTGGCCCCCTGGCCGGTCGTGAACACGGCCCTGGGAGCTATCTGCGTGGTTCCATGGATATATATTTATTTTACCAAACACAATAGGATACATTTTATTTTATAAAACTGCAGTGAACTTAACAAAGGTCATTGATATTGCTACGCGCTGGGGTTTGGGATAACTAAATGTTCCACCAAAGTACAACTTTTTAGATCTATGTTCAATACTTAGAACACTTAAAACACTTTAAAACTTTCAATTCGCTTCAGGTGATCCGTTCGCTGTTTATGCTATCTCTGCAACGCTTTTATAGCCGATACCACATCCCTAGAATTATCGAAAATATTCCACACATCTCTAGTATTGTGTTTGCGATATCTGATAATAGATGGCGTTGTACTTCTCGAGCTTTCTAAATGCGACTAGATCCTTCGATATCCGTTCGACTATTCGGGGATAGATGGCGTTACTCTTACCGGCGTAACAGTATGCTAGGAGTGCGTACTAACTGATTAGTCTCACATCACCAGCCATTATATTACATCATACTTCGAGATTAGTTTAAGTTTGAACTATAAAATTTTATTTAAAGTTTAAATTAATGTGTTTTTGTATTAACCCCAGAGCAGTCTGTAGCTTTTTAACTTTTGAAGAAATTTTAGTGTACCCTAATAATGATCACTAACATAATTTTTTTTTATGTTAATGTGATATTTTTCATCGAATTCTTAGATTTCTTAGTGTTTGTCGACTGAACATTCATGTTTTGTTATCTATGGGCTGCAATAACCACTCCACATCCCACGGTTCTTAGGCTACTGATCTAAGGAAGTTATAATGCAGTTTAGTCTGGCCCCAACTGACCTTTTCAGTATATTTCAGGAACTGCGACTTGGCTGTTCCGGGGTCCCCGCATATGAGAACGTTGATGTCGCCTCTCACTTTGTGTTTCTCGCCTGAAACAAGTAAAAATTCATTAGAGTGAATAAATCCACAGTGGTTTTTACGGATGTTCCGTTATAACTACTGAACCATGCATCCGATTGACTTGAAACTTGATATCCATTTAGAAAATACATGCACTTAATGGATAGGCTAATATTTATATGAGCGTTGGACTACCTACACCAGTTGCGGGGGCGCTAATGATGAGAATCTTTGTGGGGGGTAAGAAATAATAATGTTAATTTTAAATGCCCAGCGAAGCAGACAGGTACAGCTGGTAAATGAATAATGTCAATGTCAATCAAAGACAATCAGTAGCCACTTAAAATATAGTGAGCCAATTTATAGATAACATAAAATATTGTATCGCACCTGGATTTTTAGGTTCCCCTCCAAAGAGTGCTAAAGCCAATCCCCTTTTAATGTAATCGTATCCGTATATAGAAGGAGCTATGCTTTGTACTATTCTATCGCCGATTCTCGGATCCTTCGACAACTTGACTATGTTCGCTACATCTTCATCCGTCAAGGATTCAACAATGTGCTTGCAGTCCTTCACAACGATGTAATTCGCGATTATCACTGTCGCGAATACTGGGAATCCCTGGAAAATAATTTTAGTGTGATTAAATTACTTTTTTATTAGTTCTTGTTTGTCCTTTCCCTTTGTAAGCTGGTGGCAGTGCCTTCTTGCTTCTGACAAAGCAGTCGCACGGATAGTAGGATGGCGGAAATTACACATCAGTAGAGACATCAAAGAGAGTCGAGCTGGTGGTAGGACCTCTTGTGAGTCCACACGGGTAGGTACCACCGCCCTGCTTGTTTCTGCCGTGAAGCAGTAATGCGTTTCGGTTTGAAGGGTGGGGCAGCCGTTGTAACTATACTTGAGACCTTAGAACTTATATCTCAAGGTGGGTGGCGCATTAACGTTGTAGATGCCTATGGGCTCCAGTAACCACTTAACACCAGGTGGGCTGTGAGCTCGTCCACCATCTAAGCAATAAGAAAAAAAAAGCATAAAGCTGTTGTTGAGGTTTGATTCTTGAGACACAATTTACCAAAATATGGTGTCAGTAGCTACATCTTCAATTACTCGCAATAACAAGAGTTCAGTAATATTAAGGTACTCGCTCCATGGGCTGGCAAGACAAGACAGCGGTAAGCAGCGGCTTGACTCTGCCCCTGGCATTGCTGAAGTCCATGGGCGACGGTAACCACTCACCATCAGGTGGGCCGTATGCTCGTCTGCCTACAAGGGCAAAAAAAAAGAAGCTAACATTGAATATTGTCTTTCTGTAAACGCGAGATCAAGCCATAAAAGTTAATTAAATTGTATCTTATATCCATCAAAGAGAGTTTATTAAATAATGACGTCATTGTTTTTTTTATTGCCCTTGTCGGCAGACGAGCACACTGCCCACCTGATGGTGAGTGGTTACCGTCGCCCATGGACTTCAGCAATNGCGTCCACTCCCTACGGGTCAGACAGGGACAAACGTGAGACAATGGGGCCAAGTTCGCGTCCACTCCCTACGGGTCAGACAGGGACAAACGTGAGACAATGGGCCAAGTTCGCGTCCACTCCCTACGGGTCAGACAGGGACAAACGTGAGACAATGGGGCCAAGTTCGATGGCGTTGCTTTTTTAAAACGTTGACTGCAATGTAGGTCACCGGTGCCCTACGTGGCGCACTGAAGTAATTATGTCAATTTCTCTCTTCGATCTTCTTACTAAGGTGTGACAGTTCCCGAGTGCCACAGGTTTTTTTTTTTTGAATGCAGTACGCGCCCTGTTCGACTAAAGGCAGCAATAAAGCGCATGATCGCCGCCGCCATTTTCGATTCGTTTCTTTATTGGCGCGGCTTATGCATTCGTTTATTAATACGCTTTTATTAGCTTCAGACGTATATATGTTTGTAATGGAATCTTTGAACATGATTTTGATTTTCAAAACGTCGGATTAACTCGAAATTTAGTATACTTATTAAAGACCGATGACAATTCAATATTTAAAAAAATAATTAAATTGCACTAAAAAAAAAAAAAGTTTAAAAAACTAACAAAATACGCTTTTATAGAAAATACAACTTAAAAATAGAAAATAAATTGTAATAAATTTGAATTAAAAATAGTGTAAGAAAAAATGATTTTATAATTAAAAAAAAAAGCGTGGGGTGCTTTTCAGGATATTATCAAAATAACCCCTTTACTCATATCTGTTCATAAAATATTTATAACTACTGATACCGTGCATCATCCCTAGCTATTAGCCTCGTTATTAGCGCTCGTAGCCTTTAGGGCTATTTCAGCTACGCTCAGACGGGATGGCGTTGCAACAGACTTGAAAACAATATGGTCTGGTTTATTTTTTGGTTTATTTTTAAGCTCTGAATAGCTGTTACTGGCAGCTTAGCCCACGTAATTACGAAAGTGTCAGTATACTTAGTCTGGCCATAAATACTGTTACAATTAAAAATAAACAAAATATTACATTTGAATTTGGAATCTGTCATTTTTATATGATTGCTCATTGAGTTTTCTCATTTTGGCGCCAATACATTGTACAGTATTTTGCGATATTAAAATGGAGTGGGGTGATAAAGAGAACCGTTTGTGTACCGGGCTATTAATAGGTGCAATGAGACCCCCTCTGTTTGTGACAGAAAAAGATCTGGCTGTCCACGTAGTGTTCGTACGAAAAAGGTGGTCAAAGCAGTAAGAGAAAGAATTCGAAGAAACCCTGTCCGAAAGCAAAAGATTTTATCTCGGGAGATGAAGATAGCACCTAGAACCATGTCGCGTATTTTAAAAGATGACTTAGGACTTGCAGCCTATAAGAGACGTACTGGTCATTTCTTAACTGATAATTTAAAAGAGAATAGGGTGGTAAAAACGAAACAACTACTGAAGCGGTGCGCAAAGGGAGGTCATAGAATAATTTTGTTTACGTATGAGAATTTTTTTACAATTGAGCAACATTTTAACAAACAAAATGACCGTATTTATGCTCAAAGCTCTAGGGAAGTTTCCCAATTAGTCGACAGAGTGCAACGTGGGCACTATTTAACTTCAGTGATGGTTTGGTGGGGTATTAGCAATGAAGGAGTGACTGAGTCATACTTTTGTGAAAAAGGTATCAAAACATCGGCACAGGTGTATCAAGATACCATTCTTGAGAAGGCAGTGAAGCCCCTTAACAATATCATGTTCAATAATCAAGAATGGTCCTTCCAGCAAGACTCGGCGCCAGGTCATAAAGCTCGGTCTACGCAGTCTTGGTTGGAAACGAACGTTTCGGACTTGCATCAGAGCTGAAGACTGGCCGTCGTCTAGTCCCGATCATTACCGACCGATTTATGGTCAGTTTTAGAGAGTACGGCTTGCTCTAAACGCCATGATAATTTGGAGTCCCTAAAACAATCCGTACGATTGGCAGTGAAAATTTTTCCCATGGAAAGAGTGCGTGCTTCTATTGATAACTGGCCTCAACGTTTAAAGGACTGTATAGCAGCCAATGGAGACCACTTCGAATAAGCTTTTTATACTTTAAATTGTTTTATATTTATGTATTAAACTAACACACTGTAAAAGTAATAAATGTTATTTGTAATAGTTTTTTTTTCCTTTGTCTCAGTATTTATGGCAAGACTAGGCAGTTCCTTATGGGAACAATACTGCAATGTGTGCAATCATTACCCTAGCGCCCTCTAGTAAGTGCCGATCGCAATGGCGGCATTTACGTTGTAGATGTCTAGGGATCCCGTAACCACTTAACACCAGCTGGTCCGTGAGCTCGTCCACCCGTTTAAGCAATAAAAAAAATGTGTAGGTCATTTGTAAGTCATTATTTTACGGAATAGCTAAAGTTGTTACCTAGTGGTTGGGTTCTTCCGCACGTAGGCGGTGAGACCGACGGCGCTGGCCCCCTGGCCGGTCGTGAACACGGCCCTGGGAGCTATCTGCGTGGTCATATTAGTATACATTGAAGTTCACAATCAATTACAGTAGATAAATATATGATTTTATAAAACTTCAGTGAACTTAACAAACGCCATTGGTATTTTTACGCGCTGAGGTTCGGGATAAATAAATGTTCCACCAAAGTACAACTTTTTAGTTCTATATTCAACACTTAGAACAATTAAAACACTCAACAAACACTTTAAAACTCTCAATTCGCTTCTTCCGCTTCGCTTCAGGTGATCCGTTCGCTGTTTCTGCCATCTCTGCAACGCTTTTGTAGCCGATACCACATCCCTAGAATTATCGAGAATATTCCCCACATCTCTAGTATTGTGTTTCCGGTATCTGACAATAGATGGCGTTACTCTTACCGGCGTAACAGTATGCTAGGAGTGCGCACTAACTGATTAGTCTCACATCACCAGCCATTACATTACATTACATCAAGTTTTTCTTAATATGAGTGTGTAATCCAAATTTTGTTACAACGGTCAACTCGAACCAGTTTTTGTATTAACCCTAGAGCAATCTGTAGCTTTTCAATGTTTGAAGAAATTTTAGTGTACCCTAATAACGATCACTAACATTAATTTTATTTATGTTAATGTTATATTTTTCATCCAAGCATAGATTGCTTAATGCTTGTCGACTGGACATCAATGTTTTGTTGTCTATGGGTGAAATAACCACATCCCGCGGGGATGTGGAGTGGTTATTCTTACGCTACTGATCTAAGAAAGTTATAATCTGGCCTGAACTAACCTTTTCAGTATATTTCAGGAACTGCGACTTGGCTGTTCCGGGGTCCCCGCATATAAGAACGTTGATGTCGCCTCTCACTTTGTGTTTCTCGCCTGAAAAGAAAAAAAAATCATTACAATACATATATTAGTATGTGGAAAAAATTAGCAATGGCAATGAAAGACGATCAGTAGCTACTTAAAATAAGGTGCGCAAATTTCTAGATAACATAAAATCTTGTATCTCACCTGGATTTTTAGGTTCTCCTCCAAAGAGCGCTAAAGCTAATCCCCTTTTAATGTAATCGTATCCGTATATAGAAGGCGCTATGCTTTGTACTATTCTATCGCCGATTCTCGGATCCTTCGACAACTTGACTATGTTCGCTACATCTTCATCGGTCAAGGATTCAACAATGTGCTTGCAGTCCTTCACAACGATGTAATTCGCGATTATCACTGTCGCGAATACTGGGAATCCCTGGAAAATAATTTTAATGTGATTAAATTATTTTTTATTGTTTCTTGTTTGCCCTTTCCCTTTGTAAGCTGGTGGCAGTGCCTTCTCGCTTCGGTGACAAAGCAGTCGCACAGATAGTAGGATGGCGGAAATTACAGATCAGAAGAGACATCAAAGAGAGTCGAGCTAGTGGTAGGACGTCTTGTGAGTCCGCGCGGGTAGGTACCACCACCCTGCCTATTTCTGCCGTGAAGCAGTACTTAATGCGTTTCGGTTTGAAGGGTTTGATAATGTTGTCCTAGTTTGACTTATCTCTAGTTATAAGTGAAAATATATTCGGGAAAAACGATTTTATATTCAACTGTTCGGAGGTCATGCGCCAATATAAAGTCCTGATTTAAATATTAACCTCTTTTTCTTTTTTATTTCTGCCGTGAAGCAGTAATGCGTTTCGGTTTGAAGGGTGGTGAAGCCGTTGTAAATATACTTGAGACCTTAGAACTTATCTCTCAAGGTGGGTGGCGCATTAACGTTGTTGATGTCTATGGGCTCCAGTAACCACTTAACACCAAGTGGGCTGTGAGCTCGTCCACCATCTAAACAATAAGAAAAAAAAGCATAAAGCTGTTGTTGAGGTTTGATTTTTGAGACAGTTGACCCGAATATGGTGTCAGTAGCTACATCTTCAATTACTCGCAATAATAAGAGTTCAGTAATATTAAGGTGCTCGCTCCATGGGCTGACAAGACAAGACAGCGGTAGGCAGCGGCTTGGCTCTGCCCCTGGCATTGCTGAAGTCCATGGGCGACGGTAACCACTCACCATCAGGTGGTCCGTATGCTCGTCTGCCTACAAGGGAAAAAAAAAGAAGCTAACATTGAATATTATCTTTCTGTAAACGCGAGATCAAGCCATAAAAGTTAATTAAATTGTATCTTATATCCATCAAAGAGAGTTTATTAAATAATGACGTCATTGTTTTTTTTTATTGCCCTTGTAGGCAGACGAGCACACTGCCCACCTGATGGTGAGTGGTTACCGTCGCCCATAGACTTCAGCAATGCCAGGTGCAGAGCCAAGTCGCCGCCTACCGCTAATCAAAAAAAAAACAAGACTCGCTCGCAACATGTAACAAACAGACCTACCTGTTCAGTATTTAATGAGCCATCATAGTTGTTGGTGTATACACCGGTCAAGTCAACTTCATCACCGGGCTTACATCGGTCGCACAAATCTGCCAGTAATATGACATCTTTGCTACGAGGTATCCTGCCGGCCGGGATCCGTCCTGGAGACTCCTGGATGGTGACCTTTTGATAGTTCCGATACACTGTTTGTTCCATATTCACCTGCAAATAAAATCTTCTATATATATATAAAAATTAATTGCTGTTCGTTAGTCTCGCTAAAACTCGAGAACGGCTGGACCGATTTGGCTAATTTTGATCTTGAATTACTTGTGGAAGTCCTGGGAAGGTTTAAAAGGTAGATAAATATGAAAATGCTCGGAATTAAATAAAAATTACAATTATATGTCCCCCGTCGGACGGATTCCTTTTCTTTGTTTTAATTTTATTTTATACAAAAGTTAGGTATTTTATTTATCGATTGAGGCACTACGAAGTCTGCCGGGTCAGCTAGTAATCAATAAAAAAAAACAAGATTTTTTTTTTTTTATGGAATAAGTTAAGCCTGGAAATAGTTCACATAACTTAGTGTTTTAAGTAATATGAAGCTTATGGAATTGAAAGATCTTGTCTGCTATGGGCAACAAAGAAACTTACGAATATCAAGAGCATTATTATAATATTGTGGAGCTAAATCCAAGGCACCATTTTTACAGGTGTAGAAGACATAAACGTTTAAAGATGACCCTAAACTTTAGGATTCTAAGATAAAATAACGTAATTTTTGTATATTCAAAGTAGCCACAACTATTCTCTTTTTTTTGTTTTTTTTAATGCTTATATGGGTGGACAAGCTCACGGCCCACCTGGTGTTAAGTGGTAACCGGAGCCCATAGACGCCTACAACGTAAATGCCACCACCTACCTCGAGACATGAGTTCTAAGATCTCAGTTTTTACAGTACAACGGCTGCCCCGCCCTTCAAACCGAAAAGCATTACTGCTTCACAGCAGAAATAGGCATGGTGGTGGCCCTACCCGTGCGAACTCACAAGATGTCCTACCACCAGTAAAAATAAAGAAACAAAATTTCCTAAAATTTTTTAACATTTGGTTTTTTATATTTTTATAATTATAATAAAGCATGAGTGAACATCGAAAGAAATCCTATGTACATCTATTTTATGGTTAAAATAAAGGGGTTTTTATTCTACCGATATTTAGAAAACACTGTTTACCATAACAACTTAAATTGCCATCCTTTATCCTTTGTTTGCATGAAAAAAATAATGATTCATTAATTTTGGATATCATTGAGACCATTGTAAAGTATTGTGATGTAATTAAACTTACATTTCTATAGTTCTATTTCACAGTGACAGGAAAGACATATTGCAAAGTGGATGTCAAACAGGAGTGCTATTGAAATAATAATTTTAAATTGGAACATATCACCCTTTCGCATTAAAAGTGTACAATTTCAAATATATTTAAAATTGAGTTAATATGTGTAAACATTTGGTATCATCAATATTTTTCTCATAAATACTGTCAAAAGAGCGTAGTTTAGTTTTAGTTTTTTTTTAGTTTACCTATGTTTTGACTACTATTAACAAAATTAATACACAATTTTATCTTACTTTAAAAGACAGATAATGTAACTGGTAAGAAAAAAATGTTGCAAAAATTATTAATATTAAAAATATTACATGTTAAACCTTTAAAACACTCTCCTGTAAAATTAGTAAGTTTTGAGATTATATAGTTTTAATGTGAGAAGACGATACAAGTATTTTATATAACAAGAACCAGAAAGATGTCCCACATGTAGGGTCACTATAAGCCCTTTAGCCATGGCCCAGGGAATGTCTGTAAACAATTGTCACTCACCATAAATGGTCCAGAGCTCTGACACTCTGGACAAGACCCGGGTTTGACTTCAGAGTTCTGTGACTGCACGAATGGTCCCAGTATATACCCACAACGGTTACAATCGTATTTAACAACGGACAGTTGTGGTAATACTCCGGTGGTTGACGTTATCACTCCAACAGTTCTCACAAGCTGGTTGAGGTGAAGTTTTCTGAAGGTGCGAAGTTCCTCAATGAGTGGTAAGTCTGATATGCGGACGTGGATCTCAGAGGTCACGCGTTCGTAGCTTGGGAATATTTGGAGGACTATCTCTTTAGCCACCTGCAAAAATGTGCTGTAGATTAGAAGAGGCTGCATATGTGGTATTTTCTAAAGTTTCTAGGCACATTAGAAAACACTTCTTTAGGTCAACATTTGTCTTTTACAATGTAATTTGACTAATAATAAGAAAACGAATAAACAACAAGAAGAATTAAATTAAAAATCCACTATGCATTTGAACTTCATTAAGGTTCCTTATTTATCAACTACAATGTATTTATAATGGTTCTTTGTAACACTTCGTCTTTTTTTAGCAGCTTAGCTGTGCCCCTGACATTGCCGATGTCCATGAGAGATAGTAACTTCATGGTGTATTACAAATAAAAATTGATATTACAAATATATATATCAAATAATGATGAGGTTGCATATAGCTCATCTACCCACCACAAAACTACCAACATTGAGGGCAAAAAAATCCAAGGATGCCATGCATTATTAATTATTGTGAATTGCTATCAATTATTAATATTGGTAGGCAGCAGCTTGGCTCTGCCCCTGGCACTGCTGAAGTCCATGAGCGACAGTAACCACTCACCATCAGGTGGGCCGTATGCTCGTCTGACTACAAGGGCAATAAAAAAAAAAAAATTGTCTGTGATTAAAAAGACTATAATATAAATTTCGAAACGAATTTCGTATTAGTGAATATTTAATAGTAAGAGTACATATGAAATCATATAATATAAGGGTATGTATAATGTACTGTTATTAGTACAGAATCTCTAAATGAAAAAAAAAGTTTGTTAGATGAAGGCATAATAAAATATTTATAAGCTTTTATAGTTTTATATTAATTATAATAGTAGATATGTGAATCAAGAATTCAATTTTTGAAATACTTTAATTGATTACATGTCAAGTTTTATATTCATATCATTTCATGTACTCTGAAATTATTGTTAATGAAGATTATTTGCACTGTGTTAGGTTTATTTTGTCATTTAAATTGATTACCATAAACTAAACAAATACTATTTTTTATTCTGGATTAACAGTTGGGATACAGTGATGATTGGCCTACAGATTGATGAAAATATAATTAAAACTTACCTCATCGAATATTTGCAACATCTGGAAGGGAGCTTCAGGCAAAAAATAGGCTAAAACTTGTTCTCTATGAGCTAACAAATCAAACTCAACATGAAAGGAAGCTTGGTTATGCTCACACATGCGTCTGATACGGTCCTTGTACACAAACTGGCCTTTGTTATTTGTGAAAGTTCTAAGGAAGTTCTTGAACCTTGGAAAATGAGAAGAATAATTAAAATTTTGAATAGATAATCTTTTATAGAATAGTAATTTATTTGTGGGAATATTTAAAAGTTTGTAAAGATACTGACGGGTGTAACAAGAATTGGACTAGAGAGAGAGAGAGAGAGAGAGAGAGAGAGAGAGAAAAAGACTTTATTGCACACCAAAACAGAATTTACATTCAAAAAACAGTCAAAAAGCAAATACATTTGTACAATAAGTTCTACATTTTATTTTATTTTATTGTACATTTTATTGTTTGAAATGTACAATCAAACAAATAAAAATTGAAATATAATGTAATTGTAATTATTTATATATTGGACAGAGTATTTAGAATCCATAATTACTACACAATTTAACAGCTGGATCACAGAGATAGCGCAAACATATCTAATTTATTACTGTTTGGAAAGTTACCAACCTGTTAGCAATTTCAGTTCTAGGTCCAAGCATTGAAACCCACTCCTTGGTGGTGTAACCTTTAGTATCCTCTAAATTCTCAATACTTTCGATACCTTCTTCCACTTGTTCTTCTGCACCCATCGCTGCCTTCTCCGCAGCCCTCCTTCGTTTCGCTCGAGGGGCATCGGCATTTTCATCATCCGACTCATCTGTCAATTATAGTCAACTAATTGAAGATATTTAATTTATACCAAAAGAAATTAAATTTCTCTCTCTATCTATCTTTTTAATACGTTTTTATTAGCTTCATACGTATGTTAGTATGTAACAGAATCTTTGAACATGATTTTGTGACCCCCTTCAAAACGTCGCATTTTTTGTTTTCCTGGGACCCAGAGTGTCTGCGTCAAGACCAAGAAGTGAAACTACCAGGCGCGCCGATCACCTATTTCTTGATAAGTTACCCACTGATTCAGATGAAATTCTTGAAAATTTTTAAAAAAGATAGAATTGAAATGAAACTAAAAAATAAAAAATAAATAATAGTTTAAAAAAACTAAAATACGCTTTTAAGGAAAATCCAACTAAAAAAAAGCATAGGGTGCATGGTATCAATAGTAATCAAAATTTTATGAACAGATATAACTAGAAGGGTTATTTTGATAATATTCCGAAAAGTGCTTTTTTTTTACAATAAAATCTTTTTTCTTACACTACCTATTTATAATTCAAATTTATTAAAATTTATTTTCTATTTTTAGTTGGATTTTGTATAAAAGCGTATTTTTTTGTTTTTTTTTTTAACTATTATTTATTTATTCTGATTCTGAATGTACTTGTTCTTGTCTCGTACCCCTTTGTAGTTTTGTGTTTTGTTATCAAGTAACTCCCACCCAACAAACAAGAGTCCAAACCACACCAAAAGACATCTGGGCACAACCAAAATCACAGACTCTATAATACTGGATTTTCGCGAAATCAAAAAGGACCACCATTAGAAAATAAATTGATTTGAATTATCAAATAATTTTGAATCGGTTTTTTTTTATTGACTGGACAATTAATGCAATTGGATCTTTTAATATTGAGCCATTATGCTATGATAATCTCACCGTACAACAGATCACGATCATCACGTCTTATTCTTCCTTCATCTCTATCTCTTCTTCGGAGCTCCTGTTCAACTGCCACACGGTCTCGAATGGACATTGCATCGTATTCATCATCATCAAGGTCTTCATTATCATAGCGATCCAGCGCGGGCATAGGACGATAATCACTGGAATAAAAAAATACGAATTTTTAGTTTTCAAAAACAATAATGGATATATTAGTAAAATTATTCTCATAAGTGTTGTGTTGGCAGTATTTGATATTTGAAAATAATTTACTGTTTGATTGCTGGTTCTTAATAGTTGAATTTGAATACAATTTATACAGTCTTGAAGTCTACACCGCAGTCTGACTCCTGGAATACTTATATCATCTAAAGGTGAGTGGCTACATCCACATAGTGATATCCATAACCACTTAACACCAGGTGGGTCATGAACTGGCTCATCTGTCTAAATAATGAATAAAATTAATTGAATTTTATATGGTGTTAGATTATTTCAAGAAATTGCTGTTTTTATACTTTTTGTGATAATCACAATGAATTGTAACCAGTGGTGTAGAGGTGGTTGTCTAGAGCAGTGATCAGCAAATTGGTGATGAAATTGCATGCAGTTTGCGTGCTGTTCTTTATCTCCTCTGGTACGGCTCTTCCACAAAATGTTTAGGCACTGAATATTATTTATTATCTTGCTTTGAAAGAGTAAACATTTTTGAAACACAAGGCTATAAAATGATATGTTAAAAAACGTCTCTTTGAATAAATTTCAATTGTGAATTATCTATGGATGCATAATGTTATGGTGTACAAAGTTACAAAATACATACGCTTCCATATTATCATTGAAAAGTTCCTCTCCATCTTCTTCTTCCTCAAGAGGATTATCACCGAGTATAGCCCCCTCATCTTCAAACATTTCATATTCTCTTGCTGGTGATGTCATTCGTGATTGAGCTCCTTCGCGGTCTGAAGGTGTGTCTGGGATTGGAGAACTCTGGAACATAAATATTCATTCAAATGTTGAACATGGCTATTACAGGACTGTACTCCTAAAAAACACAATTGTACTGTATTGTTAAACTGGGTATTTAAATATCATTCATACAAGTCATCAATGCAATTAAGAGCCACGGCCCACCAGATGTTCAGTGGTTACTGGAGCCCATGGTAAAGTAAGATTACCTACCTGTCAGGGCTTACAATACGAAAGATATTAGAAATTGTTACATTTAATGAACATACCTATCCAATTTAGATTTATCGTAAATGAAATACTGTATGAACTCAGCACTTTATAATCATTTCTAACTAGCGGCCCGCTCCGGCTCAGCTCGGGTCTTTAACCAAAAATTCAACAGTATTTGACGTTGTTTTATTTTTTAAAATAAAAGAACACTTATTACGGCATAACTATAATAGTTAGACGTATGCTGCTTTTTGTAAATAATAATGTGTTCTACAAAGTCGTAGTACATTATTTTATTCTATCATCAATAGTTTTCGCAGGGCACGCGATGTAAAGAATATTTTAGGTAATTTTTTACACCTTCGGTTACATTATTAGAGTTTTAATAAGGATCAAAAAGATTATGCCTATGTCACTCGGGAATAGTCTAGCTTCCAAACAGTGAAAGAATTTTTCAAATCGGTCCAGTAGTTTCGGAGCTTATTCAATACAGACAAACAAACAAATGTTTCCTCTTTATAATGTATAGAAGTATAGATAATTGTAGGACAGAACAGTTCAATTTGTGAAAGAAATTGTTTTTTTAATATATATGGGTAACGAAATCACAGCGTTTAAAATTTGCAAGGTTGGAAATAAATTAATTTGGGTTTTATTAAACATGTTGGAGTTTGTATATAAATGTAATGGCAGGCAACACTTGACACATGATTACAGATTTCGAATATTAGAATTATTTTAAATGTTTAAAAAAAACCGATGATTGTATTCTCGTAAGAAAATGTCAATACTTCTCATCTAGACACGGCAAGAGAAACATGTAATAGTTTTATAAAAAAAATATAAAGTAAATAAGTTTATAATGATGTAAAAGTGTTCAAGCTATCTGCAATATAATTATAATGAAGCAGTTGTGTTTTTAAATAGCCCCTCATCACCTACAGAACCCAATCCCCTCAAATTTAACCGTCCAAGAAAACATAAAGACACGAGTTCGTAGTTTGTAAACAAATGGAGAATTGTTTTATTTATTTATTCAAATACTTACCATTTTGTTTAAAGTAAGCAATTAAACGATCACACAATCACAAACAATAGTTTAAACAAATTAATTAAAGACTATAAACTAATAAAATGTACAAAACAAATAAGGCGGTTACAAAGTTACAAAAAAACGTAGGTTATGTTTATGAAGCTTTTTTTTATAAATTTTACTGGCTTGGAAACAAAGTCTTTTAAGCCAGTTTATGAAGCTTAAGGCGTTAATCTTATTTTATATGTATCTTCATATATTCTCTAACTTTCCTAATCTCTCCCATGCGAATCAGTTTAATTTTTTTTTGATTACGTAGTTTCCCAAGCGTTTATTTTGCTTTGTGGCAAATACGCAAGCCGAGCGAGCCAAAATCAAACAGAAGAAGAAGAAGAAGCTTAAGGCGGAGGACCATATATTTCTTAACAGTTTGGTCAATTTTGACAATTATTTAAAATATGATTTAATTTTGTATTTTAAAAATATGCTGTAACTATGTCTCTGCACATTAAATAAAAAAAATGGCTTTAATTTTATTCAGCAATGAATCTTTTTTTAGCGTACAAATAAGGGAAAAAAATCAACAATCTTAAAGCTTATGGACTATATTCCCTTTGTCATTTGGGGAAGAACATTGAAAAAAGCGTTTTCACTGTATTTCCGTCAGTCACTATTGACGGTTAATCTATTTATTTTGTGGTTATTTCGTAATGACAAAAACTTGTATATGACGGTTGATAATGAAACATGGCTAAATACATAGCTCAGATAATAGTTTTGGGCGCTCAGGTTGTAGGTCGAGCATTCGCACGCGCCTTGAAACAAGAAATAGCTGCATCCCAAGAGGCAGCGAAGAGGGCTGGCGGTGGACCCGAAGGAGCGCGGAGAGCTGCTGCCAATGCTTCCACAGGGTTGACTTTAGAAGAAGCAATGCAAATATTAAATATAGAAAAAGTAGACCCCGAGAAAATTAGTAAAAATTATGAACACCTTTTCGCCGTAAACGACAAATCGAAAGGAGGTTCGTTTTATTTGCAATCGAAAATCGTAAGAGCGAAGGAGAGATTAGATGCGGAACTAAAACAAACATCACCCAACTCCGAGCAGGGCCCGTCTAAAGACACTTCATGAGACTCAGCTGTGATTTAGTGTGTAGTGATTAAAATTAGTAAATTGATTTTCCTGTAAAATATGTTTATTGAGTACAAACGCCCACAATAGTGACTAGAATACATCAGTCTTCATAAACATTGATTATGCTTTAATACAAAATTTCATTGATATTATATTACTGTAGAAAGTTTAATACAATCAGTTACATTACTTGCTAAAGCATTGTTAGTTTTATTGTTTTAATAATCAATAAATTATTGCTAAGCACAACTTTTTATAATTTTATATTGTACATTAAACTACCTGACACATTTTTTTGCATTTTCAGTAGCCAATAATGCTACAGTTACATTGTTCTTAACCTTAATAATTAAGTTTAAAATAATATGAGATATGTAAAAATCACACACTACAATATTTATTATTAAAGTTATTGACAGACTTGTGATATTCCTCAATTTGTAAAAAAGGGCAAAAAAATCATTCACTATTCTAATGACTAGACTGACTAGGTTATATGGAATGTTTTGGAAGAACTTGAGCAAGATTTAATATAAAAATACAAATTAATTTACCATAAAAGTACTACTTTCCTCCTTGTTCCCAATCTCTTATAACACACACAATCCAAACACTTCACAATATTATATGCTCCCTTATTAAGACAATTCTATGAACACCAATTTCTGGTTTTCAAATATGTAGCATTTCATAACTTTTCTTGTCAATTGAGCAGAGGAAATACACTACATTTTATTATATAATTAAAATGCTTCTTTGAATTATTGTTGTCAGCAAAACGGTATACAGCTCATTAATAATCAATATTAAATTTATATTCATGGCAGTGTCATATAAAAGTAAGAGACAAATTCATTATGGTTTTACGTCCATTAAGACCACAACCTCATAAGGACTACACTCTGACAGGCTTAACATATTACAGAGCCAACCATAGTAGCCTTTCTCAAAATCACATACATCCTTCCACCAGTTACCGGCGCTGAATGTGAGTTGTACGATTCCTGCGTATAATCCAAGGCCAATGGTGAAGATCACTATCAAAAATGGATAACACAAAATTATCAATGGAGCTAATACAACTTTTTTAATGCAACTAAAATTTTCAGTTATATGTGTGAATATGTTATACCACGTTATGGTCCCCATATAAAATGAGTACAAAGCTGAGATACATGTCACAAACGGAATGCAGATAAGAGTAAACAAGAACACATGAGGCCCATTACGAATAGAGCACTTTGAAATATCCATCTTGTTGTATTCTTCAGCTACGATGGTAGCTTCAATTATTTCAAGTTCTTCTCGAGATATGTTGAGTTTGACGTCTACATTCTGACCTTTTTTCTTACCTCTTTTAATTGTGCCAGTCATAGTCAAGTAGCCATCTTTAAATTCTGTCAAGGAGCATTCAGGTGTAACTGGCCCTTCAGATTCTAGTTTTGATGCAGTATTTTCTGCAGCTGTGTTCTCATATTCAACGACTCCGGCAACAATATTCACTTTTTTCTTCTTCTTTGCACTGTTTTTCAAGCTGTCAGTCAACGGGCCCATTTCAAAACTGTTTTCAGACTGTGTTTGAGACAGACTATTTGGTGTTGGGCATGAACTCTCATATTGCTCACCAATAAAGATTTTGCAGTTCTTTTGTAATTCATACTCATTGGTTTCTCTCAAATCACCATGGCTTGAGCACGCATCTGAGGAATTTTCATATATTGGTGACAAGTCTATGATTTCACGGCTGCCATTTATGTTACATAGGGCTTGGTAGCCATTCTTATGTGGTTGCTTTTGAACGTCTGTTTCAGTTGACTCAAGCTCCTCATCAATTTCATCATTGATGATGGGTAAGTGTATTTTCATGTTTGATTTGATGCCTTCCATAGTGGAATGAATGACACCGTTCGCAGTGTGTTCAGACACCGGTGATAGGCCGCTCGTGTATTTCACCGGAAATGTATTGTCCGGAACACCCTGGAAATGTAAAAGGAAAAAATCAATAAACGCATAAATTCTGTTCCTTGTATTTCCGCTTTAGTTTTATCATTGTTTGTTTCTTGAGAGTCATTAATAATTTTTATTTGACTGTAAACCGTTTATTAACATTAGTCTGAAAGTTTTGATTCAAGAATAGTGGTAATTTATACCTGTATCGCAATTACGTGGTCGACATGGCTAGCCACTGCGTTGGCTTTTTTGCCATTCCGCTTTTTCGGAAGTATGAAAATCGGCTGTTCTACTTGTGCCATGGCTATTTTGTCCCTGTTGTGCTTAGCTTTCGTATCAATTTTATTAGAAATGAGGCATTCCAATACGTAAGAGCCGCTAGATAGTAAACAAAGCGGTCCAAAACGACCAAAACAGTTTATTTAACATCACTACATAATCTGTAAAAACACAGACTACATCAGACTAGACAGGATGCCCATGTGATCGTGAATAAAACAAAATTACATTCAGTATATGTGTGTATGGGAATCTGCTTTTATGATGCTATCATATCGCTCTCGAGTTATCAAGTGTTCTGTTATTTAAAAACACATAACTAATACATACATACGATATTTGTGAAAAATTTAAAGGTTTTATGATAGGAATGTGGACAGAGAATTAAAAATTAAGTTTATTGTTTCATTATTTAAGGTATAATAATTAAGGTGGCGTATTAAACGTTTGGTATCTGTGAGAGTTTTTATTATTATTATTTAGAAAGGAAGGAGTACTGGTGGTCCAGAGACTTTTTCAGTTTCACCAATATAGGTGGGCGAGCACGGGCTCAGCCAGGGGGTGGGATTTACCAACAGCTGCCCAAGCGTCCCTGAAGGGAACCTAAAAGCTCAAGGGCAGTTGCTTCATGAATGCATCAACTACCGGATCGAAATCGTGACCTGCTGAGAAGTTTCTCCAGCGAGAAACATAGTAGACTGCTGTGTGTGATATGAGTTAAGATGCACGTTGAACTCTCTAAGTCATTCAATCCTGTTTTTGCAGGATAGCCGTCGGAGCTCCGTGGTTAGTCAGGAATGTCGACCTCCATGACGACCTGGACTTAGAATCCATCAGTAAGTATCTTCAGTCGGCGCCGATGCGCCACTTCGATAAAGCGGCACGACGTGAGAGCCTTCTCATCGTGACCGCCGGTAAGTACATTCCCGATCCTGCGGACAGAATGGAGAGCAGTCGACGTCGGCCCAAACACGTCATTTCAGATCTTCCCGATCCACTAACGGTGCTTTTAGGTACCTCAAGCACCGGTCATCGTTCTCGTGGAAACCGTCGCTTGCGACGAAGGGCTCGACGGTAAGTTAACCTTCAGACACAGCCCACTGAGTTTCTCGCCGGATCTTCTCAGTGGGTCGCGTTTCCGATCCGGTGGTAGATTCTGCGAAGCACGGCTCTTGCTAGGGTTCGTGTTAGCAACGTCGTCAGGTTTAAGCCTCGTGAGCTCATCTACTAGTTAAGGTTACGCTGAAATAGCCTCTCAAGGCTCTCCACTAGGTAGGATAAAAAAAAAAAGTTTATCTCTTTGGCGAGGTCGACGAGTATGGCTAACAGGATCTATAAGTGTGCTCTTAGTCCTAAAGCTGCAGGCGTCTAATAGTTAGTGGACCAGATGGATCCGTAAGAGCTTGTCTAGGGCGTTGACGATGACTGGCATCTGTGTGAGTCGGAGTCGGAGAGTAGTCAGTGGCGGCAACAATGAGGTGATCATCATGACGCGTGGCCTTATCGAAGTACCGTCTCTACGCTCACTTCTTCAGATGCTACCAGATGGATTCCACGCCCAGATTATCGTATTGGTCGACGTTCCTCATGAAACACGGTGCTCTGACTGGGTAACTGGTAAAAACGGGATTGGAGGGTGTCTATGTTGGTGCGGGCCACTTGAGCAAACTCCATACTCACTTAAGACATTATGGATCGTGCGTGTGTAAGTTTCGTAAAATGTCTCTTTGTTCTGAAGGGACATTTTACTCTACTTACAAATCATGACAAAAAGTCTACTGAGGATTAAGGCGGCTTGTGAAAGCACACAAGGGTGGGAAAAGTAAATAAAGTCGGTGAAAACTACTTTTCTTCCATAAAACCTAATGAATTTTCAGTAAATTTACTGGAAAGCTATTTTATTTTAACCATCTGTGTTATCTTATAATACTATATCATTTAATTATATTTTATTTCATCTAAATATCGTTCCATTTCACTTAGACATTGAAATGGTTAAATCTTTTTTTGGTCGTACAAAAGGTGGTAGAATAAACAATAAAGAGACTTGGTGGTGGACAGAAGCAGTACAAAATGCCATTCAAAGGAAAAAAGATGCCTTTAAGACCTGGCAGTCCACCCAAACTTCTGAAGACCAAGAAAGATATAAAAGAATAAAGAAGGAGACTAAGAAAATAGTGGCAGTGGAGCGCGCAGTTGCCCTAAAGACCATGTACGAGCAACTGGAAACAAAAGAAGGTCAAAAATGTATATTTAAGCTCGCTAAACAGCGTTGTTGGAGCACGAGGGATCCCACTAGATGTCGGGCTGTTAAAGATCCAAATGGTGAGCTTCTGTATAGGGATAGTGATGTACTATCAGCTTGGCATCAATATTATGAACAGCTACTGAACCCTACTCAAGCTGCTATACAGTTAACAAAAGTGGGCAGGAACATTGGACTTATACCTCCAATACGTCCAAATGAGGTCAAAATGGCGTTAGAAAAGATGGCCAACAAGAAAGCCACGGGACCGGACGGTATTCCAGTGGAAGCTTGGAAGTGCCTTCGTGAGCACGGAATCGAAACGCTCACCAAACTTTTCAACTGTGTGTTGCGCTCTTCCAAAATGCCAGCGGCGTGGAGATTGAGCACCATAGTTCCTATTTATAAGGGGAAGGGCAGTAAGTACGAATGTAACAACTATCGCGGGATCAAGCTGTTAAGCCATACTATGAAACTGTATGAAAGAGTGATTGACAGCCGCCTAAGATCAGAGTGTTCACTATCCAAAAATCACTATGGTTTTGTACAGGGCTTATCTACCACCGACCCTATGTTTGCTCTAAATACGATCGCTGAGGAGTATCGTGAGAAACTTCGGCCATTGTATGTCGCATTCTTAGACATGGAAAAGGCATTTGACCGTGTGCCAAGAGATACGATCTGGTGGAGCCTTCGCAAGAAGAATGTACCCGAACATTATGTTAACGTCATAATTGACATGTACAGGGATGCGAGGTCAATGGTACGGACAGTAGTGGGTCAGACAAAACCAATAGCAGTTGCAGAAGGTCTGCATCAAGGTTCAGTACTGAGTCCCTTTCTGTTCGGCATGGTTATAGACTCACTCACTGAGGTGGCGCAGTCCTCAGCCTCGTGGACTTTCATCTATGCAGACGACGTTGCTATCTGCACCGAGAGCCGCACAGAGCTACGAGAGGCACTCCTGTTGTGGAAACAGCAGTTACAAGCCGGTGGCCTAATATTGAGTGTTGCGAAGACACATTACATGTCTTTTAATGACCCAGATCCAGGTGACAACAGTCCGATTTCCATTGACGGTCAACTTGTAAACATGTGCGATCAATACAAGTATCTGGGTACTATGATGCACAGATCTGGAAATTTAAAATGCAACATTCAACACCGAATAGCCGCAGCGTGGCTAAAATGGCGAGAAGTAAGTGGTGTCACCTGCGATAGGAGGATGCCCGTTAAGCTCAAGGGTATGATCTATAAGACTATAATAAGGCCTGTTCTTATGTATGGCAGCGAAACATGGGCGGCAACCAAAAGGAACGTACATACCATTCAAGTTGCTGAAATGAAAATGCTGAGGTGGATGTGCGGCGTGACTAGGCTCGATAAAATCCGTAACGAGTACGTGCGTGGAAGTCTAGGTGTACGGGACATCGCCGACAAGATGCAGGAGAGTAGGCTGAGATGGTATGGTCACGTGAAAAGGAAGCCACCTGACTACGTCGGAAATTTGGCACTACTGCTCGACCTCCCCGGTCGGAGACCCAGAGGCAGACCCAAGACAAGGTGGAGGGACGTAGTGCTGAAGGACAAGAGAGAATGCAATGTTGCTGACGAGGATGTCGAAGACAGAGCGAAGTGGAGGAGTAAAGTTAGGAAAGCTGACCCCACCACCATGTGGGATAAATAGCTGGGAAGAGAGAGATTGAAATGGTTAAATCTTTGTAACAGAAAATAAAGTCACATGTTACGTTACTTATTTTGTAGTTTGTAACTTTGTGGTCGAATGAACTATACTCCCTTTTGCGTCTCCTATCGAAAAATCAATCAAACAAATATCCGACTAAAGCGCCTTATTCACGTTCCATCTTGCTGTACGTCCCGCTAAGGCCATGCACGATGCACGATGCAAAAGGATCATGAATAGGCTTGACGTACGTCGATAATTATTATTAATTGTTTGCTGGATTTGCACGACCAATTTTGCATCCAGCGAGCGCCCCCACCACCGCGTACGTCGTGCAGATAGACAGTGAACAACGCTGACGTACGTCAGAGTGGTCCTGCGTCGTGCGTGCTTGATCGTGTATAGACTTTCTGTACAGCAGATTTAGCATTTAGAGCTTGTTTCGAGAGGAGACTGCACGTCAAAATGGATCGTGAAACACTTTCAAGATTTATTGAGAGGTATAAGTTCCACATGTTTGTGGAATGTCTCAAGCGCAGACTATATGAATAAACCAAAAATAATACACGTATTACAATTTTTTAGGCCCATTTTAGGGGAAGCTGCAAGGATTGATAGCGTGCGTAAAAAATGATATTAATTATTTGAGTATAGTCTGCACGTTTAAAAAAAACCATCCAAAACCTCTTGCTATTTTTTGCCACTCTTCTGCTGCTGCTGACAACATCAGAAGGACTCCCATTTTTGGCGTTTTGATAAAACAGCTGGCATTTTAAATAAATTAAAACCCTCATTTAATTCGTTCGATTTATTCTGTTCGCGCTTGATACATCCAGCACCGCGGCCGGGCCTTGAGCTGACGTACAGCTGTGATGGATCGTGAATAAAGCGCTAAATGCATCGTGCATCGTGCATGGCCTTGGCGGGACGTACAGCAAGATGGAACGTGAATAAGGCGCTTTAGGTTATTACATGGAGTTAATAAGTACCTACGAAATACTAACTCTATGGGTTATTATGTCATTTCATTTCATGCCATGCCATGCCATGCCATGTTTCATATTATTAATCAGCTTCATTTCATTTCATAATATCATATTTCATAAAAAAAATATATATAAAAGATTAGGTTGTATGGTGTGATACCTTTGCCTTTCCATTTGGAAAAATAAAACTACTACTACTAAGGTTATTGTTGAAAACACATTTAAATAAAAACTATTGGTCTTCCTTATCGTAAAAAATGCATAAGGTAATCGTTGTAAACAATAAAGTAATAGCTGTTTATTCAGAAAAAGAAAATACAGTAAAACCATAACCTCTAAAAGCTAAATAACAATTGGTTTTATTTTGTTGTATATTTTCATTTATCCAGGGTATGGTCAGCCTGGTAACTGGTGGAGCTTCTGGGTTAGGTAGGGCTACAGCTGAGAGACTGGTGAAACAAGGCGGAAAGGTTGTTCTGCTAGATATACAAGGAACGAGACTTAAAGAAGTTACAAAAGAAATAGGGGACGATGCTGTAGCTGTGACGGGATCAGTAAGTTATTTAATTTGGGTAACTAATTAACAAATAATTAAATTTATCAATATAAAATTACTTCATCTACATTCATCTAATGTCAAAATTAATATTATAAATGCTCTGAGGAATTGTTTGAGATTATACCATCATCTCGTTTTTACCATCGCACCGCCTGCCACCGGAGTAGAGTTCATCCATACTACCTGGAGCCACTGTGTTCATCCACGTACCATCCGGCTTTGGAATGAGCTCCCCTCCACAGTGTTTCCCGAGTGCTATGACATATCCTTCTTTAAACGAGGCTTGTGGGGAGTACTTAATGTTAGGCAGCGGCTTGGCTCTATCCCTAGCATTGCTCAAGTTCATGGGCGACCGTAACCACTCACCATCAGATGGGCCACATGCTTGTCTGCCTACAAGGGCAATAAAAAAAAAGTGATTTGTTTTTGTTATTGAGTAACAATCAAAAATCTGTATGGATTTTCATATAAAGATAATTTAAGTTTATATTCTGGACCAACAAGTAGTAATGTTGGGTAGAAAAACTATAACAAACACACCATTGTGCTCTCTGCCTTGTGCTTTTACATACCAATGGATCTTAAATTTTATTCATAGATTATTAAGAGATTTATAATCCAGTATGACACAAGCAACTTTTCAGTTAATTTTTGGCTACTTGTATACAGTTGAATATAAACATGTTTTTTTAGTATTTACTTTTTTTGTATCAAATAGTTTAAATCATTTTGGCAGGTGGAAGATATTTCATTAGTTACTGCACAATTACACATTACAAAGTTTTAAACTAATGACTGATTATTGACTTGAGAGATTCAACAGTTTTCTTTTACTTTTTTATTTTATTTTTCATTACTTATACATGAGCCCACCTGATGATAAGAGGTTATTGAAGCATATAGACATTAACAATGTAAATGCAGCCACCCACTTTCAGACATGAATTCTAAGTTCTATAGTACAATATCCCACCTTTCAAACCATTCTCATTCACTGGCAAGACTGGAAAGCATCAGTCATTGGTCTGGTGACAGTCAGGGTGGTGGTTTCTTTTTTCTTGTGTGGTGGTGATACCACCAGTAAAATAAGACAATAATTTATGAGTTATTTTGTCAACAGATAACATCGGAGGATGATGTTAAAAAAGCACTGGACATAACCAAAGACAAATTTGGCAGACTTGATACACTAGTCAATTGCGCTGGGCAGTCAATAACACATCAGATTTATAACTTTAATAAAGATTTACCCAGTACATTGGCAGATTTTACAAAAATTATCAATGTAAGTGAATAATAATTTTTACTTTATTATTAGCCACATGCCTATCCTACCCTTAAAAACCTATAACTAAAAATCCCTAATTGGCCATTGTTAATGATTTGATTCCATTAAATAAAATAGAAAGGAATGTGCTTATTATAAATTATTAGACCTACCACATTTTTATTGGTTTATTTTTAAATGAAATTATAAAATTTTATAGTATTATTATTAATATAAATATAATTAATTCATATTAATATAGTATTAATCTTCTCCATATGTATGCATTAAAGAGTTTTGGCATTAAAAAAAATTCATTGTGCAATACTTGAAATAAGCGAGCTGATACTCTATGTGCTTATGCTGTCTGACTTTCAGACATATCAGTCTTATCACACAAATAAATGGTTACCAAGTATCACAATATACAACAACAATAAATTTTAATTGAAATATTTCAATACATCAACTTAGTTGTTAGTATAAATAAATAAAAATAAAATAATTTCAGATCAACACTGTTGGAACATTCAACACAATTAGGTTATCGGCTGGACTGATTGGTAAGAATGAACCAGACGCTAATGGCCAAAGAGGAGTTATAGTCAATACGGCATCAACAATAGCATACGAAGGAGATATTGGTCAAGCTGCATATGCAGCATCAACTGCGGCAATAATAGGAATGACGCTACCGATTGCAAGGGATCTAGCTTCAAAAGGCATTCGAGTTGTTACCATAGCACCAGGTATGCATGTTTCAATCCATCAGTCACTACTTCAGAAACTTCAATTTAAACGGTTTAGACAAATGTACTTTTTTTTTATTGCTTAGGTGGGTGCACGAGCTCACAGCCCACCTGATGTTAAGTGGTTACTGGAGCCCATGGACATCTACGACGTAAATGCGCCACCCACCTTGAGATATAAGTTCTAAGACCTTAGTATAGTTACAACGGCTGCCTCACCCTTCAAACTGAAACGCATTACTGCTTCACGGCAGAAATAGGCAGGGAGGTGGTACCTACCCGCGCGGACTCACAAGAGGTCCTACCACCAGTAATTACGCAAATTATAATTTTGCCGGTTTCTCTTTTATTACACGATGTTATTCCTTCACCATGGAAGTCAATCGTGAACATTTATTGTTGAGTATGTAATTCATTAGAAAAATTGGTACCCGCCTGGGATTCGAACACAGGTGCATCGCTCAACACGAATGCACCGGACGTCTTATCTATATAATATTCGAAATAATTACATACATACCTGTTAACTACTGACTCAAATACATACATACATATAGTACCTAACCCTTTCCCTTTTTCGCATTACTTTTAAAACTTATTTAAGAGAATGCTATATCTAATTGCTGCGACAACACTTAAAAGGGTCTTTCTTCCTCAGCTTGTATGCCTGAGTAAAGAGCTAACAATGTCTTCATTTTACAGGTATATTTGACACGCCCCTAACGTCATATTTACCAGAGAAAATGAAGGAATTCATCAGGCGTATGACTCCATTCCCCTCGAGATTGGGCAAACCTGAGGAGTTTGCTCATCTCGTTACAACTATAGTTGAGAATCCAATGTTGAACGGAGAAGTCATAAGATTAGATGGTGCACAAAGGTGGTTTCCGCTTTGAAATCATGTTAAGTTAGATTAAGTATTGTCTAAGACTGTTAATAAAGTTGAATGTTGTAGTTGTTTTATTGTCTATTCATTTATTGTGTAAAAATAAGAGTGAATAATTTTATATTGCCCTTTTAGGATTGATGCTAGGAAACGATATTACACCTATTCGCTTGGTGATCCGTGTTTAAATCAGGTATGGGCAGGGCAACCTTTGACATGTTGAGGGCCTAACTTTAGCGTTTAGCAAATACGTTCGCGGGCCGCATTTAAAAATATTTAGTGCATTTTAAAGTAAGTAATAATATTTGTTGTGATAGATATTAACATAAAATAATACGCCAATGTTATTATAGTACAATTTTTTATTTAAAATAAATAAAATGAAATAAAAAAAATGGTACATTATAATTAAATCGATAAATTTGCAATTGTTACAAACTACGAAAATTTAATTACACCGATATCAATAACGGTCGTCTGGTGTAGTGGTAAGTGACATGGTCACTACACAATGGGGTCGCGGGTTCGAATTCCGCCAAGGGAAGATATTTGTATGATAAATATAAATGTCTTTTCCAGGGTTATGGATGTATATTAAATATATGTATGTGTATAATAAAAATCTTACATTTATTTCCGTTATCTGGTACCTGTAACACAAGTTCTTTACGAACTTAGCATGAGACCAGTTGACGTGGCGTGATTGTTAGTAAATATTTATATTTATATTATTTATATCAATGAGACACTTGAGCTTGAATTTGAGTAACTATTCCATCGATATTTGGATTAATTCCACCGATACAAAGACGTAAAGAATTTTCCAAATTATCGTCAGTCGAATCTTGTACGATGTGTTGATTTATTAACTTTCATCAATGAAATGAATTTTTAGCATTTATAAGTACTGCCAAACGCACAAATCAATCTTCTTGCGAATTTACAAAGCTGCGGAAAATTGTCTTCTTCTAAGTATTTTTTGTAGAAATCGCGCGTAACTCTACGTCTTAAAATTTATATTTTAGGAGTGAGTTTTCTTGAATCTCGGTCATCTCAATTTGTAAGTGTATTGGAGCATTTTGTACATTACATTTTGTAGGAGTAGCAATAAACTGAAACAGTCTTCCGTGCTTTTGAAGTCGCTAAATCTGTTCGAAAATTGATCCGACAGTAACATGAGTTCTTCAGCATATTGAACATAAGCAATATTTTCATACGCAGAGAGCGTGTTGAAATGGTAACTGTTAGCAGACAGCATCTGTGACTCCCACAAGCATTAGTTTGATCTGAAACGCTTTCGAATGGCTGTACATTTTTTTTTTTATGTTCGAGAAGTTACTTGTGGCCCGGAGGCCTTTCCAGTTTTATCAGAGCAGGTGGGCGAGCAAAGGCTCAGCCAAGAGGAGTAGGTCTCGTGTTATAGTAGCCATTGCGTTGTAGTAGGTGTCGCGTTATAGTAGACATCGCGTTGTAGTAGGCATCGCATTATAGTAGGCATCGTGTTATAGTAGGCATCGCGTTGTAGCAGGCCTCTTGTGATATTAGGCGTCGCGTTATAGTAGGCATCGCGTCATACTGGACATCGCGTTATAGTAGGCACCGCGTTGTAGTAGGTCTTGCGTTATAGTACGCATCGCGTTGTAGTAAGCCTCGCGTTATATTAGAAATCGTGTTGTAGTAGGCCTCGCGTTATAGTAGTTATCGCGTTGTAATAGGCCTCGCGTTATAGTAGGCATCGCGTTCTAGTAGGCGTCGCGTTATAGTAGACAACGCGTTGTAGCAAGCCTCGCGTTATAGTAGGCATCGCTTTGTAGTAAGCCTCGCATTATATTATAAATCGTGTTGCAGTAGGCCTCGCGTTATAGTAGTTATCGCGTTCTAGTAGGCCTTGCGTTATAGTAGACATCGCGTTGTAATAAGCCTCGCGTTATAGTAGGTATCGCGTTGTAGTAGACCTCGTGTTATAGTAGGCATCGCGTTTTAGTAGGCCTCGCGTTATAGTAGACACCGCGTTGTAGTAGGCCTCGCGTTATAGTAGGTCTCGCACTGTAGTAGGACGCGGCGGTAGTACGTGAGCTCCGCTGTATCCTCACCGCAGCCACTGCAGTGGTGGCACTCCGGCATCGGCTTCGACCGGGAGACAAGGTGCAGGTAGGGGCCGAAACAGCCGTGAAGGGTCACCCTTACCTAGTGTCGTCCCCGTACGATCAACCCGTAAAAGTATAGTTCTTTTGATAGGTCTTTTCAATTATAGTCATAGTCATAGATAATGTCATAGTTAATGGCGGGATTTATGTTATGACGTCTATGAGATTCAGTTACCATTTTATGTGACTCATTTGCCGATCGGCAGCGATAAAAGAAAAACAGTAATGCATAGACGACACAAAACATTTATGTCCTACTAAACGATTACACTTGTATTTCAATCTGTAAGTTTGTTTTGTCGACGGCGGGCTTCCTATCAATGTATTTATTGCTTTATTCGCTGTCAAAGTGACAGTTGGCTGGAAAGGGGCAGGCGCTGCAGGGCGTCTCCTGGCAGGGTCCCTTGTCTGCTTCGGATACTCCGCTTATGGAGTTGACACAGTTTAAAAAGCTAGCAGTCACTTCTATAGAGCGAATTCCTATCTTTTTTCCTACCCTAAGCTGATAGCGTTGAGAGGCTATGTCAGCGTAACCAGGCGAGTAGGTGAGCTCACGGACCTCAAACCTGATGTTATTGCTATCACGAACTCCAGCAAGAGCCGTGCTTCGCAGAATGTACGCGAGAAACTCAGTGGGCTGTGTCTGTGGGTTAATTTACTCGCCGAGCTCTTCGTCGCAAGCGACGGGTTTGACGAGAACGATGACCGGTGCTTGAGATACCTAAAAGCACCGCTAGTGAATTCCTATCAAGGTATATTCGTATCAAACGGTGCGACATATGTATTTAACACGTGTGCACGAACAAACTTCCACGATAGTTTGTAATTCTTAACAATCTTCATTTTCAACGGCAGAGCGTATTGAATGCGCGCGGGGGTAGCTATTTTTCGGCGAATCACTAAGTAAATATTTGCTACACTCCTGAGAAGAGATAGAGTGGGGCTATGGCCGACACAAGAGCCGATTAAAATTTGTCTGTACAATTTTCTCTACTAGTGGTATCATGGATGAAAATTCATGAGTTCGTGGAAAGTATTATTAGATTCTCCCTTTAAAATTGTTTTGTGCGCAATTAAATATTAATAATGATAATAAACTGGAATCAACGTTTTCAAATACACCAAAGTAACTCAATATATATTTATATTGTAGGATCTTGCTTGATATGAAAATTGTCCCCTGAAAATTTACTAAAAGTATTTAAATTACTGCTAGCTCTTTAGGTTATCGGTCTATAGTAATACTATCTTAACCTTATTCTCCTGCTATCACACGCGTTAATTCCTTAACAGACAAATCCGTTGGATACTGCTACATGCAATAATAATAATATTTCTGGTTCCGGCTCGATTAAATGATGTAAAGTTTTAGGCGGTGTTGTTTTAACTTGACGTACTGAAATATACAATGCACTGTGTACATTTAAAGGGCTCGCGTGTCGTCTACTTCGTTTCGGACACGTATTTAATCTACAAAGCAGTGGCAGTACCGAGCCGCCGATAAAATCTAATTATTAATAGGTTCATACAAATAATAATTAGTGATATTCAAATATAATCCTGTCACATCACAAATAACAAAAAAATGTTAATAATTAAATATTATTTTTTAGTTATTTGTCATGTATTTGTGATGTAAATATTCATTATTCATATTTTTTTAGTTATTTGTTATGTAACAGGATTATATTTGAATAAAAAATAATTATTATTCAACGTAAAATTGGTGATTAGTAAGGTATCAATTGACGAATTTCAAGAGGTTAAATGAAATTTATTTTCTAAAGATTGTAGGATTTCTGTGAGTATTATGACGTATTGTATGTACATTTACAACCGTATTGTATGTACCTATTTAATCTTGGTGGGTAGCACACTGGTCTGATGATTAACATGTTTTTTTCCTACCTTTGCTGATAGCCTTGAGGATAGGCTTGGTATTTCAGCTTATGCTTGACGTGTAGGTGAGCTCACAGGGCTCAAACCGGAGTGTTAACACTGGCCCTAGCAAGAGCAGTGCTTCGCAGAATCTACCACCGGATCCGAAACGCGACCCACTGAGAAGATCCGGCGAGAAACTCAGTGGGCTGTGTCAATGGGTTAATTTACTGATTTACTGATTAACATGGTAGGTTGTTCACGATTCTCTTTCGTCCTTGGTTTCATTGGATTAGTTTTAGTGAGTGCTATTTGACTATGACGTCAAGCAAGCTGCCTACAGATTAGATAATGTGTATATATGTATATTTAACGCGTTATTGTTAATGTTACCGCGCGTATAACTGAAAATATAACTACAAAACGCAAGGCAAGAGATCTTTATTGTAAGGGATTTTTAGTTTCTAAGGAGAGGCCAAAGTTCCTTTGCGGTCATCACTAGTTTCACAGTGTTACGAGAAATCGTTCGCATGCGATGGATTGCAGAAACTCTCTATCTCTCTCGTACGTAAGATTGATGATAATAATATATGCTATGATGTCAGTATGGCATACAGACATATTAGTGAGCAATAGCCGTTGTTGCTGGGATTTTTTTTTTACAGTAGAGATAAAAACAGAAACACCGTGTTCGTATGTAGTAAATAAACATGACAGTAGAACAAGTTCATTGCATCCACAAAGTAATCTTATCTCAATCCGAATCATGGGACAGATCAAACCGAAAGAAATTCCACACGGGACATGTACTGATTGCGAGGACGGATCCAGGATTTGCTGTTGGGAGGTTATTATTTTGAAACTCAAAATTAGTAAGAGTCGAAATTTTGGCTTTTTTTTTAATTTAATAAATAACTGCACCACTATTCATTCATTTCAATGGCGCGTTCACAAATAAAATATTCTACTCAGTACTTTTAAATTTTTATTACTATTTTTTGATAGACGTGCTATTAAACGAAACTATTTATTTTTATTTAA